CTGTGGCCAGGTTTCATGCGAAGGCATGGCTTACCACAAGACCCACTTTCACATGGCTTGCCGCAGATCAGGACCTTCAGGTAGTTGCCACCATCATTGTCTGCTTCCTGATGAGCCCTTTTCTGGCCCCTTGAGTGAGACCCCTTGTGCTGATTGTAGGCCCCCGCGTTGTGGCTCTTGTTGATGTTTTGGGTGACCTTCTTGATGTAGTCATACCCCTTGGAGCTTGACCCCCTCTCGAAATCCTCCACCACCACCACCTCCATTTCTGCTGGCGCCGGCTTGGGTCGGGCTTTGGCCTCGATTTTGTTGCCACCAGGCTTGGTGTCTGCCTTCTTGGTGTCTGCCTTGGTGTCTGCCTTGGCAGATGCCTTGGCAGATGCAGCAGCTGCCTTGGCTGCCACTTTGGCAGCTGCTCTGGCGGCCGATTTGCCAGCGCCCTTGGCCGAGGACGCCCGCCAGCTGGGCCAGCTATGCGCCCACTCAGCCTCGATGAAAGCCTCGGGCGGGGTCTCGGGAGCAGGGATGCCAGGCATGGCAGGATGACCACCAGGGCTTTCACTTCCAAGGGCTTGAGCCAATCAGAAGCCAACAGGGTCTGCTTGTCAATCAGCATGGCTAATGGTGATAAAGGGTGTGCAGTGAGGCAACAGTTCTTCTAGCCACTCAACGTAGCCAGTGGCAACATGCGGTGGGCCAACAACCATGCAACGTGGGCAGTGGTGGCCATTCAACATTGCAACAATTTCTCTGAGGGTGGCACTGGAAAGGTGCTGCTGGAAGGGGTTGATGGAGTAGTGTCCTGCGGGCGGCCATGCAAGTAGGAGAGAATCGGCGATGGATGGTTACAAACACAAGGTCCTGCTTGGCACTCATGATTAGCTGGTAGCAGTCTAATGATGTAAGTGCTCAACCCCAACCCGATTGATATCACAAAATGGCTTCAACACGCACAAGTTCAGTCAACCCAAGAAACTGGTGCAAATCTTTGGGGAAACTTGCCGGCAGGACCATTCGATCTCCAGCAGCGCAAGGAGCAGCTTGTACCAGAATGTAATCCAAGGGCCGGGCCAGGAGGGCAGGCTGAGGCAGGCTGATGGGTCAAGGGGTTCACAATCATGAGTTGGAGGGGGGCTGCAAAGGGCCGACCAAACGTAGGCAAGCTCATGGATCACATAGTGTGGGAAATGCTCATGTGGTCAGCAATTTCAGGAATCAAGGGTGTATGTGGGGGTTAGCACTGACTGGCTTTGGGTTGGTTTCAAATGACAAAGCAACAGCTGGGTTTACAAACTCAGTTGGGCGGGTTCCATTTTCATCAAACTCGGATTTTGGACGGGTTGCACGGCAGCTGAATCAAAGGGGTATGGTCGATGACACAATTCCATGCGTGGAGGGCACGGCTAGGCAACCAAGCACTTCCTCTCGCATGCACTTGTTCCCATCCAGCACCACCCCTTGCACACAGATCATGGTCAGAGCCCACGACACCCTAATTTCTAATTGTCAGTACCACGCACTTGCATGGTGAGTTCCTATGCGGCCGCATAGTGGCCCATGATCTGAAAAGCATGGTGGGCCATAGCAGGAAACACTATGTTGCCCACTGCCTTCAGCCTGGCTTTGGCCTCGCAATCCTGATGCTTAGCCAGCCACTCATGCAACTCAGGCTTGGCAGCTGCGTTCCACACGCAGCGGGGCCGATCCCGAAGAGACGCTGCTGACTCCAGGGTGCTGCCCTAGTGCAAAACATGTTGCGCGGGGTTGGTGGGGGCAAGCAACTCAATCAAGCCTGCCAAAAATCAAAGTTGCTCTTGGAGATCAAGAAGAAGGTCCTCTCCCGAAACACCTGCAAACTTGCACATGCACCCCAAACAAGGACCCCTGTTTACACTCCCATTTTCAACTGAGCTCTTGGCCGGACAGCCCACATGGTAGCCTTGAACTGTTGACCACTGCACGGTCATTTCCCTTTTGCTGGCCTCCTCAAACAACACGAGCGGAAAGACAGAGAGGGAGAGAGAGAGAGAAGGGGAGACACAAACCCACACACACACACGGACAGGCACATAAATCTACAGAACAATATACACAAAGGCACACCGACACAGACACAAACGCAAGCTTGGCGCGCTGACAAACGCAGGGCTCCTCAAAAATGTGGGCCATGACATCGGTGTGAGAATCGCTGAGGATATTCGAGACGTTCTCCAGGATGCAAAATTGCCTTGGGAGCCAGGGCAGCGCAAGACACGGGAAGGAGGGACAAGAGTGAATGCAAGGATGTAACAGCACCACAAGGGCTCATGTGCGTTGGGCAGCGAAGGTGCAAATCGGCCTGAGACTGCACCTTCCAAACCTCTGACAGCAAAGAGCTTCGGCAATCAGCCAAGCCTTGGCCTAACCCGGCCCTGGACAGGCCCTGGCAGCAGAGCAGGGGTGTGGAACCGACACTTGAAGCATGGCCAGCCTGACAAGGGAAGCCAGCCACGCAGCCAGCACTGCGCCCAGGCTTGCCGTTGAAGGTTCGGGCATCCCAGTGCCGTTCTGCTGTCGGCACCAAGCCATCGGCCATGCGGCTCTCGATGATGCTTTGGCAGAAGCTGTCGGCCTCGACAAAGTCCGTGGGGGCCAGGTACCTGGGAGGGAAAGGAAGGACATGTGTGTGAGCCTTCAACATTGGGGCCCCAACTGGGACAATCCAAGCTCCAATCCAAGCACCCCAGAGAACAAGCTCACGGTGGGGTGCCGTGACAGGCCGGCCTCAGGGGGCAGAATGTGGCAAGGGGAACTGTGAGGTAATAAGTTCAGAACCTGTGGAGCCTGGTGCCAGGGACAAACTGCCGCCACGCTGTCTATGACAGAGCCTCTCGCTGGGACTGTCCAGCCCCTGGGAAGTCCTGCAGAGGGGTCACGGGGGAAGGCAAGTTCGAAGGCTGGAGGGCAAACCACCGCTGCCTGCAAAGTATTCGCCAAGCTCTGGTGTGACATATCGTCCGCGGGGCTGCTTTGCCAACTTGCACGCAGCCTTGTAGTTTTTCCACCAGAACACCTGCGTTGCAAGGTCCTGGCCAAAGAAGGCGCCACTGATGACCCCAGCAAAAGCCCAGCTCTCCTGTCTGCCTCGCACAGAGAGGTATTGGCTATTGGCTGTCGTGGTTGCGCTGAAGCATCCTGCAGCGATCAAAAAGCACGGCGTTTGAGTCTGATAAAGCAATGGGTGAGCGCCCCACTGATCGTCCCAAAGCTGTGGATAGTGGTTGGCTTCTGCACGAGGCCAGTCTTGGGAGACACACCTTTCTTGAGCTTCTCAGGGACCTTGGGCACGGAGAGGTTTGCAGGGCATGAGTTGTCACACAGGGCATGCTAATGCTGCAGGGGAGCCAGAGTGATGTCACACTTCACCCGGCTGGCTTGGGGGAAGAAAGTGGGCTTGTAGGCCACAACCTCCCCGGCCGGTGCCTTGATGCCAAACTTCGGCAATCGCGCTGGTGGCGCCTCTTCCCTCAATGCGGTGGCATGCCGAAACACTTGGAAGGTGGTGACTGGGGGCCTAACTCGCTGAGCTCATCTATGGGCAGCAGCTCTTCCCAACTCAGTGCGGCGGCATGCCAAAACACTTGGAGGGTGGTTGCCTGAGGGCCTAACTCGCTGAGCTCATCCACGGGCTGGAGCGCCATGTCACTGCACTGTTCGGGGCAAAAAGGCTGCTGAATAAGCGGGCCAAGCCAGGCATACGGACAAACATACAGACACAAACACACAGAGGGGGATAAAGAGGGGCCAAAGGAAGCTGCAACTACTAACTGCTACTGTTGCCGCAGCAGCCACATGCTGCAAGTCTCCAAAACCCTCGATGCAAGCCAAAACCCCAGAAAGAAGGATCCCGAATTATATGTATATACGTATACACATGAGCGAGCGGCAAAACCAAAGACTACTTTGGGCGATTTCGAATGGGAACTTCTCGTTTTTGGAGCTTCACCATAGCGTTCCTGCAGACTTCTGACACTTGTCTTGGGGTTTCGCAAAATCACCGAAGACATGTCTCTCCTCATCTGAGAGAGTTTAGCCTATTGCTCGCATGTATGCAGAGGTGTTTTGGCTTGCCTTTCTCAAGCTATCGCTGGATCCTGTCCAGTATTGCTCGGAAAAGCTGCTAAGAGCTTTTCCAAAATGAACACCTGGCAAGCTAGACAGACCTCAGAGGAGCCAATAGCACCCTTCAATCCCCCGGGGCGTGCGTTTGAGCAAGTAGATGGCAGTGGTGCATGAGTAGAACCAATCTGGAAAACACAAAAAACACAGTGGAACCCATGTATGTTCAAACAAGTTGATCTCCAACGACCCAATCTCATAGCGGTTGCCCCCAAACCAACAAATTATATGTTTGATCATGGTCTATGTGTTTCATAAACCTTATGCAATAAATGTATGGTTCTACAGAATGCAGAGCCTTAAGTGGTAAAATGGTCTGTGGTCCAAGCCACATTGGTCCAAGCCACGCGATGGCTCCCAAGCGAAAATTGAACTGACAGTTGTCACGGCTCACAGAATGCCGCAGCTGCTTTCGTGTCTTCTTGGTGACCGCTGCCAGAGGTTGCCTTCAGCAAAGTTGTTCAAACATCTGTAAATTCGGCTTTCCCTGTGCTTGCTGCCGCCCAGGCCCATAGACCTTCAGTCAACACATGACTTGATCATGAAGTGCCGCGCAGAAAGCTACTTTGTTTCAGCATGTCCATCTTCAATTGCCATGCTTTGTCACCTGCGCGGGCAGCTGGCGCAGGAGCTTGTTTGCTGAGCAAGTATTTAGGGACATTCGCCAAGCCCACCGCTGGAAAACAAAGCTGAGCGGGATTTCCGCGACCGGACATGGCCTTGAGCACCGCGAATGCCGCACAAGAGGCGAACAAGTGGCCGAAAAGCAGGCGCCATCTTTTCCGTGGTCGAAACTTGGCTTCATTCTGGCCCCCCTGAACAGAAACTGGGTGCCAAGTCGCGAACGCAGGCACCGAAAACGCTGAATGTGGCACCGGCGGCGCCCTAGGCGCCGGAGAAGCGTCGAGTTTTGTCTTCTTGAAGCCTGGGCACACAGCGACTCGAGAACCTTAAACAGGAGACATCACCCAATGACCCAATGAACTTGATGTGTATATTAATATGATCGATACCCCATCTTCAGGGGTTTGAAGCTCGAGGTACCCAATAGGAATGAAATCGATCTGCATGCATGCTGTATGCTGTCCAAGAAGAGCTAAAAAAAAAGGCGTTACCGACATGACTTGAGTGAATTACGAGTTGGCACCAAGAATGCCTTGACTCAATACCTCGCTTAGAGCCCACTTACCGCCCCTGGGAAGGCAAGCACCGAAAGCCTACTGAACTGAACGCTTACTACAGCCAGGCTCCCTATATTTCCGTTTACGTCACCCCACTGAAAAAGACTCGCTTCGAATTGGAGCTGCGTAAAGCCGGCAAAAAGAGAAACAGACCCTGTACGGTTTCTGCTCAGCAGCAATCTGCCAACGTCGTCTGCGAGCGCCGCTTCTGGGGCGAAGGCTTGGATCCTGTCCACTCAGTCAACGGGTTCGACCCCCCGATCCAAGTACATTCAAAAAGGGAGTCGGCCATAGAATGATAGCAAGGTTCCGACCAGCACCGGAAGTGCTCAAGCAAAGCTAATGACGAATGGGATTCCAAGAAACAGGACACGAAAGATCGGTTGATCCAAATGTTGGTCTAAGGCTGGGGGTTCCCAAAGCTTGACCCAACTGAGCCAGTGTCCAGAAACAAAAGGTTAGCCTTTGGAGGCCATGACCAAAAATGAGCCAAAATTGGGAAACCAAAAGGGTGAAAAGGTCGGTTCTGGACAAGACAGCTGCAAAACAAGAAACCCTCTTGGCGAACAATTCCTCTATGAAAGTTGCGAGGGCGGTCAACATGTGTGTTGTACCAACCCCAAAAAGCATGGGGGTTTGCAACTACTGTCCTTTGGGGCTGCGCCTGCCCACTGTCATGATTGTTGGAAAGAGGGCCAAGAGCATGTTAGACATATGTGTATATATATATAAACAAGGTTGGGCCGCCCCCTTGCTTTAAACCTATTTGAGCCGCTAGTGCCGAAACCGCCTACTTTTGGTTGCTCTTAGGGAGCCAGGGGCTGGTTGTTTCACATGGGACTGAGTCGACTCGCCTGCGTCCATCATGCAGCTCGCAGTCAACGTGAGCTTGCCAAGCGGCACCTGCGCATGGCCGTGCAACTTACGTTCCTTGGAGCGATTTAGGAATAGAAACGCCGGTTAACATCGGCATAGAGGAAGTATTGGGTTGAAACAGTCATGGTGGCAAGGAGTATACATCCACAGTACTGTATGACCTTGATTTTGCAAGGTATGTAGCCCATTGTCCTTGAAAAATCGGGGGCGGGGTGCAGGTTACTTGTGACAAAGATTCACCAATCACCCGATCGGCACATACACATGATGCCAGGAAAAGAAACCCGCCAATGTTTTAGCCTTGGCCTCCAAGAACCTCCAGGAGTTAAATGGGCCCCCGTACCCCTTTATGTACCTTTTCTTGTGGCTGTATATTCCGGGGCATGTAGCCTTTGTATAGCCGCAATGTATTCCACAACATGAGCGGAAGCTTTGGTTTGGAGGATGCAAACCTTAAACTTTCGCACGGAGCAAACTTCATTTTTGGGTTCCTGAAAAAAAGGGGCCGCTGGACTCCTGGGCTGCAGTACTACTGCTGGATACCGTCTGCCAATTGTATATATGCATTGGAAGTCTGAGGTGGATGTGTATATATATGCTCACCCCCCCTCCCCATGATCCACATTTGGCATTGCTGCAGTGTATGGTCTCAGCTTTGGCTCCTTAATTTGAATGGCTGAAGTACTCTTAGCCCGTCTCCCAATGGAGGCTGTTAAAATAATAACAGCCATGGCAACGAGCGCCACGCCGAGCCCTATCGCTCCATCCAGATGGCCTACAAAAGTAGGTTATCTACCATGTGGCTACTTGGCCGATTTCATCGAGTCGAAAACTGAAGTTTCTTATGGGGTCCTTCTGCTGTCATTTCTGCTCTTGCCCATCTAAGGATCGGAAGTGTTCAGCTTCGAAGGCTTGCACTTCAAGATCAGCGCGAGCGAGGAGACCGTCCTCCAAGAGAATGAACTTGGCTTGATTATGAGTGAGAGGCATTTGCCATAGTTTTTTATGGGACAGTCCTTAGGACTGCTTTTACTCTCTCAGTTTTCCAAGCCGCAAGGAAAAAAAGCCTGCTGACCATGTACGCCTGAGTCTGCTTGCATATCAAGCTCATTAAGTTTCCTTGTGCTATACTGCATCCATGGCAACTGATGCGGTGGACCCTGTGGAGAAGCTTTCTGACCCTACAGCTCCTCCAGCAGCCGATGTGGTGGATGAGACCAAGGTCCTTGTGCCTTTGCCGGCTTCTTCTCCTGATGTGGTGGACCCTATGGACGAGATTCCCGACCAGTATGACATCGAGGCATACCGAACCCTTTCCCAAGAACTCGCGGATGCCATGGACATTGACGACAACTGAGCCGCGTGTGGGCCGCACTCAGCGGATTTTGTTCTAGAAGATAGAAATATAAACCCAATAGAGACATGGAGCTTGGCTAAAAAAACATTAGGTCTCCAGTGCCATCTTGCTTGCACATGTTGCTTGGAAGCGAATCGCATTGATCGTTTACGCAGCCATCTGCTTCAATCGCCTTGATCCTTTGTAGTTGATCTTGCCCATCATGCCAAAGAAGGTCATGAAGTCCGTGAAGGCCAAGTTCCCAGATCCTAAGCGGGGGAAGTGGCGCGTGCAACGAAGGCCTGCCTCAAAGAATCCTGCTCCGGTGCCATATGTCCGCCATGGCATGCCCACTACCGCGCTGGGGGCGTTCGATTTTGACTTGGGAATCTTTGACTGGACAGCGTCTCCACAAGCAGCTCCACAAGGACAAGATCCTCACAGACTGGGAAGGCAGAACTTGCCCTCGATGTGGCAACGGCGTAATGGGGCCCCTGAAGTATTACCATGACAAGAAGATTTGGGCGTACCGGTGCAAGAAGCGTGCCTGCCACAAGCAACTTCAGCCTCATGCCTACCATCCCATCTTCTTCATGTCTGCTGGCAATTCTTCAACTCCACTTCAGAAGCAGGTGGCGGTCCTCTTCTGCGCGGTGGTGGGGGTCTCGAGCACGTGCTCCTGGATATGGACCACAAGCCAGTGGAGCGCATCTACCACAACCTGGAGGTCGCTCGCTCGCAGTACGTCACCCAGAAGGAGAAGGACATTGTCTTCGGCGGGAAGTGGGAGGACGTGGAGGTGGACGAGGTCGACATTGGCAAGTTGACCGACGAGAGCGTGGCGGGAAACCTCAACACGAAATGGGAACAGTGGGGTGGACTCGTGGAGCGAGGAAGGCCATCCTCGCTGGTGCTCTTCAGGCTCAACCCCATCCTCACCAAAAAGAGATCTCCGGGGCCAGGTCCCATCAGGAAGAGGGACTGGCAGCCGATTGCGAAAAAGCACATCGCGGGCCGGAAAGTCATCCTCCACAGCGATGGGGCCAGAGCCTACAAGCTCAGGTTGCCGGACGTGAGGCATTGCAACGTCGTGCACAAGAAGAAGCGCATCGTCATCAACGGCAAGGCAAGTAACTCTGACCTAAACTGCTTTAACTGCCTCTTAAGGGATCTACTTGATTCTGTTATTCCTGTCTGTCAGGCCGTTTGGGTGAAGCCCCACTACACCAAGCAGTACGACGTCAAGCTGCCGGACGGGAAGAAGGTGCGTGTGAAGAGCGGCACCCAGATCATCGACCGGTTCTGGAACACCCTTCGATCTCACCTGAAACACACGAATAGAATCCCCGGCAGTCAGGTTCTCTTGCGAAAGCTGAGATCCGCACAGTTTGAATACTGGCATCGCCGCGCTAATATGTGGGAGGTGACCGGCCAGATGCTGCAGGCACTGCACAAGCAGTGATTACCGGATATGCGCTCGAAGGAAAAAGGCAAGAAAAATGCAAGCCAGCTCGTCGGAGTGACAAACATCTGCTACTGCCTTCCCACATCCACAATTTTAAAAAACAGTACAGCACTTTCTGCATGCTTAAAAGTGCTGTGCTGTCCCTAAAATCCAGGCCTTGGAGGCAGAAAGTGCTGTACTGTCCCTAAAAAACCCTAAAAACCATTCCAGAAACAGTCTTGAGCACACAAACCTCCTTCTGGCAAGGATTTTTTGGTTTTTTAGGGACAGTACAGCACTTTTTTGGTTTCTTAGGGACAGTACAGCACTTTTGAGCATCAGCATGCAGAAAGTGCTGTACTGTCCCTAAAATCCAGGCTTTGGAGGCTGAAAGTGCTGTACTGTCCCTAAAAAACCTAAAAAAAACCATTCCAAAAACAGTCTTGAGCACACAAACCTCCTTCTGGCAAGGATTTTTTGGTTTTTTAGGGACAGTACAGCACTTTTTTGGTTTTTTTTTTAAAAAAAAAACATTCCAAAAACAGTTTTGGGCACACAAACCTCCTTCTGGCAAGGATTTTTTTGGTTTTTTACGAACAGTACAGCACTTTTTTTGGTTTTTTAGGGACAGTACAGCACTTTTGAGCATCAGCATGCAGAAAGTGCTGTACTATCCCTAAAATCCAGGCTTTGGAGGCTGAAAGTGCTGTACTGTCCCTAAAAAACATAAAAAACATTCCAAAAACAGTCTTGAGCACACAAACCTCCTTCTGGCAATGATTTTTTGGTTTTTTAGGGACAGTACAGCACTTTTTTGGTTTTTTGGGGACAGTACAGCACTTTTTGCATGCTGATGCTCAAAAGCTGTACTGTCCCTAAAAAATCAAAAATTCCTTGCCAGAAGGCGGCTTGTGTGCCCAAGACTGTTTTTGGAATGTGTTTTTTAGGTTTTTTAGGGACAGTACAGCACTTTCAGCCTCTGGATTTTAGGGACAGTACAGCACTTTCTGCATGCTGATGCTCAAAAGTGCTGTACTCCAAGACTTTTTTTGGAATGGTTTTTTAGGTTTTTTAGGGACAGTACAGCACTTTCAGCCTCCAAAGCCTGGATTTTAGGGACAGTACAGCACTTTCTGCATGCTGCTTCCATAAGTTCCATCTGCTCCCGGCTAACTTTTTTTCCAGAAGGCTGTCCACACAAACCATCTGTAAGCATCTGCTTCAAGTTGCCTAACATCTGTCCATCAAGAATGTCGCAATCTTTGACTAATCTACTCATCAAGAATGATGCTTGTTTTTGACCCAAGTTTCCAGGATCAGAATCTGATCCTGGAACAGGTGGTCAAAAACAAGCATTTTACATGTGTTTTTCCAGTGTTTTTTGCTTGCAAGAGGCAAAATGTGGATCATGGGGGGGGGGGTGACCATATATATATATATATATTGAAAAACGTCCAAGGTGCGTAGCTATTGGGCGCCGCAAAATTGTCTCAAGGAGGCAAGGGCTGATGCTAAGGTCATCTGTTTGCTGGTTTCTGGCTGGCCTGGCAAGTATTTGTTTGTTTCTGGCTGATGCTAAGGTCATCTGGTCTGGCTGACTCCTGATATGTCAGCAAAGCCTTGCAGTTCCCCCGAACTAAAAATGCTCGGAACTGCAAGAGCAAGAGCAAACAGTAAAAACACATACCTGGAAGAGTGAAGAGCAAGAGCACTACGGTTATGCCTGGCGCAAGGGGGTCTATTCGCACATCAAGCTGTTGATCTCTTGTCTCAATGGCGCAAATGCACCGAGCCTAGGAAGGACGATGGTTCTGGAAAAACATGAGGTGCGACTGGCAAAATGTGCATGTCGTTGGTCTGGCCCATCTTGCTTGGGTTTTCAGCAATGCTGGCGAATCGCTTCCACGGAGTATCGTATGGTGTTCGCAGAAATCGACATTTTCACAGATGTCGCAACTGTATTGGGAACAGTCCAATCTGCAAACTTTACTACATAATTCCAGTTAAGGGATCCCCAAGCACAGGATCTCTATCATGTGAGCTCGTTGTACGCCCGCAGCGGTGAGCTCGCTACAGGCAGATCCAATGCAAATAGATGGGAGTCAGCAATCCTAGCTGCACTAGTCTTGGGCACATGGAGACTGGTCACAAGCTGTTGCTCGCTTGCTAAAAGCACATGTCCGTTTCAGGCACCTACTGTGTTTCATGGTTGCAACCATGGGCACGTGAAAAAGTCAGATGCCTGCAAAGGGCTGCTACACTTTCCTATACGCACGGAACCTTCCGTGCGTGGCTTTCGCTCGTGCTTCTTTGTCCGGCCGTCTGGTCTCTGCTGCATTTTTTGTCCAAACACACAAGACGGCAGTTTGGGACATCCAAAAAGGGAGTTTTGAAGCAAGCCCTCCAGTCGAAGTGACTAGGGTCCGGTCAAGGTACTTGTGGCGTTCCCGGAAACACCCCCGTTCCGTGTGGGACTCAGTTCCGAACGTGAGAATTGGGTCTTTCCCACATCTATGGTCCAGGAACTCAGGGAGGAAGACGATAATTCCCAGACTGGAGATAAAGACACCTCCCTGTACGGGCAAGCTCAGTGAGCTCGATTTGCCCGGAATTGATACGAACCGATGAGCTCGTGAAGCAGTGTCCAATACTCGGCCCATCAACTTAGGCACCCCTTAGTGGGTTGATTTTCACGGGAAACCGATCCCAACACGTGGGGGTTGATCAACAGGTCCTCATGATCCCAATGGGAAAAGCTATGGTCATTTCGGGGCCGAAGAAAAATATCGATCAGCCCCCCATCGGCACCGGCGCTGGGAAAATTGGGACGTGCCCGGCCTTGTCTGGAAACTCTCCGGCCCAACGGCCTGCGCCGGAGGTGAAGGTTTCCCCGTGGACCAAAGGCGTCACATCCCAAAGTCCACCCTGAAGTCTGAGCCTTCCATTGGGTGACACATCTTTTTCGGGATTTGGGGCGAAAGATTTGTCAAGGGATTGAAGGACATCCAGGAAGAAGGACACCCGCAGATTTAATAATATAAAAGGCAACACCCAGGGCCGGAAATTGTAGCTTGCCTTTTTCAGCTACCCCCCAACAAAAACTCCCATATTGATCTTGGTTCACAAGCGAACCTTGACATGCATCCTAAGTCCAAAGTCATCCCATTGACTATCTGCCAGTGGTCATATTGCCTGTATTTCCTACACAAACATGGCTATACCTTGGATTTTGGAAGGCACACGTCGCCGGTGGGGGCATTCTGCAAACTTCTACAACCCCCGAAACACATCACATGGCCCGTTGAGAGAAGCCTCAAACCATTCCTGGTGCCCCTCTTCGCGCGACGCAACGAGTGAGTCCAAGGCCAAGAACCAGTTTCCAGCAACGGAGTTGGAGGCCAAGGGGTGTCCTATTTACCCTCAACGATGAGGGGCTCGCCAAACCACCAATGCAAACCACCAAGGGTTTCCAACATATTGCTGGTTTGTCAAGGGAAACAATGGTTGGTGCTTGAACCAGTCCAGTTCGTTGACATCCTCATTCAGACCCCGTGGCAGTTCAAACAAGGACAACACCCCGCAAAAAAAAAAAAAAAAAAAAACGAGAACCCTCACTTGCCCAAAAGTCATGGACATAAACAGGCACCCCACATCGCCGAAAGGAAGAAATCCATTTAGGTCAAAAGGTCAAACGATGTCAATGAACAACTTTGCAAGTGAAGGCGTGGATCAAGAGGCTTCCCCTTTTCTGGCGCATAGGAAAACCACACGAAAACACAACAAATGGGTGTGTCATTGTTTGACGGTACCCCTTTTTTGGTTGATTTTTCAAGGAAAACCAACAGGAACACTACCATTTTAGGGGGGGGCGAGAAAAAGACACCCAAGCAATTTGAGAAGTTCTCAAAATGCCTTGGGCCACTTGGCTGTGGATCAAAACCAATGGGATCCCATTTTGGGGTAGGTAGACTCACCACTCATTTTAGATCCCATTTCAGTGGTTGGATTGGGATGCTCACTGGGGGTACGGAATTTTGGATTTTGACGCTTTTGACCCATGGCGACTTTCACAGCCCAAGGAGCTGAGGATGCCGCAAGCCGCATCCACCACTCTGCCCACGCGCTCGCCCCGGCGGCCCTGCAGGATCTCCGGGCCGTCGGAGAGCACGGCCGAGGCGCCTCGAGAAACCGAAAGTCGGGGGTTCCGTTTCCTTCGTCCAAAACGGAAAAGCTATACTTAGTGGTGTCCTTGTGTTGTTTATGATGTTGATTTCGTTTGTTTTCTTTCTTGTTTTTGTTTGGTATTGTTTCCTTTTTCTGGCTTTGATACAAAAGCATTGAGAGGTTTGTGTCAATAAACATCCCCACGGGTTTCCTTATCTAAAATAAAGTTTGTGTGAATGGAATGGAATTCCCTTTGGAGGTTTGATAAAACCAAGAAAGAACCAGAGAGGTTTGTGTCAATGGAATGGGAATCCCCAAACTTGGCTTTTTCCTTTGGGTTTGCCCTTGAAAGCCCCAAGGGAACCTGGAGTCCGCTTCAGACCCTTCAAACATGCCGCCCATTTCGGTGACCCAATTTAGGACTCCGGAAGCCCAGCTGGGTCCAGGAACCTTTCGCACTTCAGCTTTTTTGGGTCTCCCCATTGGTGCTCTTGAGAGGATGCACACAAGGAGGAACATGTAGAGCTTCCCACGCCGAGTTGAGAACCTCTTTGCGTATTCGGTACGGCGGAATATTAGGAAAACCATGGAAAACCTCTGGGTATCCAAGCTGCAGCATCATGCTGGGAGTCCCAGGGCTAAACGCAAAACTCACAGGCAGCTACACTTCCGGCGCTTTCTGCGGAAAATGCAAGGAGGCACTTCGGGAGTCACAAGCGAGTCGGTACCACCCAAAACCAACATGGCGCTGAAAGAGAACGGTCGCAAGCCCGGCAAAGAGCCCAAATATGTTCCCGTAACCTTCCAGCTTCAGAATAGACGGCAGCATAGCCAGAACGGCTTCCACGAATATCCTCAAGGGAAAGGCTTTAGTGGCTAAGCAAAGGTTGCTTTCACTAATGAGATCCGCGCTTTCACTAGCTCCGCGACAGAACGCAGCAGGGCAGACTGCTGGCGCAAGTCAGGCAATTAGCATGCAGAATAAACTAGATTATCACACTGGGACAGGAGCCCTGGCCAGCACTGGGCACTAACGTCGGCCAGCGCTGTGACAGGTCAGCAAGTTCACCGTCGTGCATCTCTCTCGGATATGTCAGGGCTGGAAGGTAGTGATACGATGGGCATGCCACGAGAGGCAACTCATTTTGCAGCTTGATCCCATCCACAGAAACACTCGGCAGAGAAGTGAGCAACCTAGCGGGCTATCAATCACAGCACGGGCACCTAAGCGCGCACCACTACATCGGCACTGAGCAGGATCAATGCACCCTGCTGGTCCAGCGGTTTAAGCGAGGCTCTATGCAAGGCACCGACCATTGCAGGTTGCTGCGCAGAGCAGCCGGCTCTGACAGGCTGGCAGCCATAGGTGTTCTTTTGGAAAATAGATGGCCCTGGAGTAAAACCCATCTAAACCAGTGCCTTCTACTTTTAACCAAACGAACCTAAAAAGGACACCTACGCCTCCAGCGCAACTCCGTTTAAAACTGAACCTCTTGGAGAGGCAGTGAAGCCATCAAAAAGTACGAGGCAACAACACAGGCGTGTTCCTGAACGAGCATGCAAGGGGATCCTCCAAAACCGCCCCACAAGCGTCCGCTAAAAAGAAAGACCCACAAAGGGCAAACAACAAATGGCATCTCCCGGTTGCTCATTTCATGTTCCCGCAGTTGCTGCTCATGTCCGATCCGTCCAAGAAAAAGCCAGCCAGTTGGGAAGGCATTCAACTTCCAACTTCCCGCCCTTCAGAACTTCCCCCGCCTGCAAGCGTCAGAAACTCGGTCCCATACACTGGGTGCCGATACGCCGCCGGCGCCTCACGCGCCGCTGCCGCCGGGCTGGCGGGCGCGTGCGCCGCCATGTCGGAGCTGCCGATCTGAATCTGCCCGGCCACCTTGCCATCCTCCGGCGTAAGGCCTGGGCAAAAGTCATGCCAATTGAAAACACCCGGAGTGTCCGTGACTTGAAACATGCGGTCATTGCCAACAAGAAAGGCGTTTTTTGGAAGGGTGAAGGGTCATGGAGACTCCAGGTATATATATATATATATATGTATATGTATATATATATATATATATAAATCCCCAACAGCCTCGCCACCGCTGGCCTGGTTTGTACCTTAAACTCCCTAACACTTCCCAGACATTTTTAGGAGCCCTGATCGAATTCTGCCCCATCGCCAAGCTTTGTTCGACCCCATGGCTGCTGCTGTTGGGAGAAACGCCGCGAAACACAGAAGCAAAGGAACATATCACCGATTCCTCAAAAATTACACAGCACGGTGTTGAACCTCATGTCAAATCCTTGGGTCCCAGTCTTGGCTCTTCGCGACTAAGGTACCGAAATCTAGGGAAAATGCGTAGTTTGGTGTTGTTACGGAGAAAATAGCGAACAACAACTCGAAGCTTCCATTTCCTAAGAGACAAACCCAGCTGCTGTGCTTCTTTTGCCAAGCACCGCCGAACAACCCGCCGCCGAATTCGAAATCCCCGTCGCGCAGTGATCCTGATAGAGAAAGGGAAGCCTTCTTGGGGTCGATTCCATGAGCAGTGAGGAAATCCCTCAAAAAGAGGGAGTTTCTGCGCGAAATCGCGGCAAACTCTTTTGAGCACCGTACACTGAAAAAGGGGGACTCACCCAAATACTTGATCAGGAAATCCCGAAGCGTGGGAATGAACCTGACCACCTCCCAGGAAACCAAGCCAAACTTGAACAAACTTGAACAAACTTGCTTTCTTTTTTTCTCAGCAAGGAATATGGGAATTGACATCAACATCTCCCAACATCTCCCACTGGCTTCATTATGTTACCATGATCAAAGTCACCCCCTCAGTGGTGGGTTAAAGGGAAACCACCCCATTTTTTCAGACTTCAATAGCCTTCAGAAACCGTGAACCTCATGACCCCAGTCCCAAGCATCCCCTTTTCCAGACCCAAAAAACCCCGCGCGCCCGCGCCCGCGATCCTCGGAAGGCGTCGGTGGGGAAACCGCCGCTGCGGCTGCAGCTCTTGCCGTCTGTGGACCCTGGGCCCGGCTCCTTGCGCCAACCTGGGCCCTGGTAGCTCACCTCGGAAGCCATGCGGTGTCTGTCTGTCTGTGTGCGGGTTCATGTGAGTGTTCGTGTATCTGTTTGTGTGCGTTTGCATGCTTGGTCCTGCTTTTGTGTGTTTGAATGTTGGTTTGTCGCTTGCTGTATTTGATTGTGTGTGCTTTACGTGTTTGTTTGTTTGTGTTTCTGTGTACTTGTGTGTTCTTGTGTGTACTTGTGTGTTCATGCGTGTGTGTGTGTGTGTGTGTGTGTGTGTGTGTGTGTGTGTGTGTGTGTGTGTGTGTGTGTGTGTGTGTGTGTGTGTGTGTGTGTGTGTGTGTGTGTGTGTGTGTGTGTGTGCGTTTCGTGTTTGTGTGTGTGATTGATGATGTAGAGGGGACCCTTGGATTCTGTCACAAACATCAAACCTCTTCACAAATTGATGGGGATAAAGTGGTCCAACCACTTTTGAGGCGTTTCAACTCTGAAAGTTCCTGGCCATATCTTGCTCAGTACCTGGACCCTCAAATTACCCTTAACAAAGGGGGCACTATCCATTTTTCGGATATTGTTTGAGAGTCCAGGTAGGTTCTCAGTGTTGTTGAAGGAACGGGATGTTTTTTTTGGGGGGGGGATGGGACAGTTGGGCTCCTGAGCACCAAGCATGTTGCCCCAAATCTCAGTTCCCACTTGCGGGAAGGCGCCCAGAACGCGCACACCTGAGCTGACGTCCGGTTCTTCTTTGGAAGGTCCTGGAGGGTACCATTGGTCCGTATGTCTTGTCTCAATAAATGTTGAATTCTTCAGGATGGGGGGTGGCCACTTGGACTTGCCTTGAAAAAGAACCAGAAGGGTACCAACTCCAAGTAAATGACACATCTGACAATTCCAAGGCCCAATCATTTACTGGACAGGTGGCCCACACGAAAGGGGTAGCTGGATCCACTGGTTATGAGATGACCCACTTAATCCTGAAAGGACTTCGCCCCCAAACAAACAGCTTCCCGGGGACCCTCTGAGCCGGGGCAATGGGTTAACTCACTTCCTGAGAGGATTCGCGCAAACAAACATGTGCAGCTAGCGTTCAACAATTTGCCGCAAAAACGACTTTTGAGGCACGGTTAAGCAACCCTGCTTCAATTCCACATAGCTAAGCCACACAAAGCTTTGTCGGCAGCATCTTGTGCTCCAGATACTCTTGGACTGTCCGCTCCTGGCAACTGGAGCCACTGAAACCTTTCCAAAATTGTGTCACATTTTACTGAATCTCCCCACTCTTCTCTTCTGCTTGGTCCTGCTTGTCTTCTGCTTATTATTATGCTTCTGTGTTGTCTTCTCCTTCATCAGCATAGATCAGTGATATCTTACCTTTCTTATGATTTCATACGCGTGGCAAGCTGTGCTTGCCATACTTACGTGTTTCAGAATTGCAACACAACAATAATATTTGTCCCAAACATACATCTGCTTCCTAAATGCTGACAGAACGCTGGCCTGTTTGAACACGCGGAAGATCACACGGGTGCATCTCAGTTGGGAAAAGCATCGGGAGCTGCTTTCGACCTCCCTTTCAGCACCAAAAGAATGAGTTCCCAATCTGCGTGACGACCTTTTGGGACATGCACGGTTTTGGGACTTGGCTCAAAGAAAGCAGCCCACCAGGTCTCAAGGACATGTTTGAATATTAGACTGCCAAATCTCAAGAATTTCCCCGGTCCAGTCGAGGCCCGAAATGTTGCAAACAACAACACTCGAAATAGGTCAACAGTACACTACAGCTGAGTTTCACAACTGGGTTGCTTGCAAGGATGCATCCAAAAAACCGCCTGCTTTACCAAAAACATCCTTCACATCAGCTGGTAAGAGTTTCTATTTGACAGGCCGAACTGTATCATCCTTCAAGGGACGTCCAATGGCATGCTCGGAATTCAATTCGCTTCTCCTCGAGGTCCAGAACGAGGGCCAGCAGGAGCCATCGGACGCGGGTGAGATTGGTGACCCCCTGGCGAGCAAAACATCTCCGAAACTGAACCTCTTCAACAAAAAAAAAACAGATGCCGCCAAACTAATAGGCCAAACTGGAGGTGTGTTTGGGGTTTGGAATTTGGGGTTTGGGGGGAAGTCATTGCGGGAGGGCGGCAGCACCATGTTTGCGCAGCTTTAGGATATCATGACAAAGGCTGGGTCTCAAATACGAAACCGAAAGCCCCCTCATTTTCCGGGCACCTTCCATCTTGGTCAACATCGACCTGAACCTATAGGATTTGCTGGTGGACGGCCAGTATCTCAGATGTCGCCAAACCTTCCTCCAGAATGTCCTGTCTTCCTTTCGACGGCGTCCCAAAGGCACGCCGGAATCGTTGGCACAAAGTAACACAAGGTGATACTGTGGATGGACGAAATCCTGCACCGCCTAAGAAACCATGGGAAACCATTGTTTGTTGGTATTTACAGGGGAATCATCATTCCAGGGTTTCTTAGGTGCACAGGTGACTGTAGCAAGCCCCCTAGATCGAGTTGTGACGGTCGACCCTTGAAGTGAATCACTTGCGGCTGTTCTTGGTTGAAAATAAATTCCACAGGCCCCACACCCCCAGGAAAGGTTTGTAGAACCTTCTTGAAGGGGTTCTGATTGAAGGGTTGCCCAACAACTAGGACCAGCCCTTCCCACTATCTGTCACTACAAAATGGAATTCTTACTTTGAGACACATCCAAGTCCAGCGTCGTACTCCTCACTATGAGCCCGACTATCATGTTCTATCCCCACACCCCTACTAAAACAAAATGTGGCTTCCATCCATAACACATGGGTGTAGAAGGGAAGGGTATGGCCCGTTTTATCCCTCTACTATTTTGCGACTGAGACACATCCAAGTCCAGCGTCGTACTGCTCACTATGCCATTGCCATCCCGTGTTGGCTTCACTTTGAACAAGTTGACAACACACATGGGCCAATGGGAACCCAGGATGAAGTCATAGGCCAGAGCAATTTTAGAATGAATCCGGATCATTTGGGGGGGGTCTTGGGGACTTGGGTACTTACAACCCCGAATCCGAATGGGCCTGTTTTCCGCGCAGGAATCCAAATAGGTTGTCAAGATTGGGGAACCCCCCCAATTGAACGGTTTCCTTTGGTTTCACCCCGGCACAAAACCAGCCAAACCTCGCCTTGCCCAACTGGGGGTGGAAGACCCAGCCATCGCCCACAGTCACAGACTGGGCATCGGCGCCTGCATCGGACACCCCCAAAAGGGCGGCAACAGCTGTCCCTTTCGTTTCCCTTTAGCCCAAAAAGGTGCCCCTCAAAACAGAGGCCCGCGGGTAACCACAAGAAAGTGTACCTGGCAACCGCGAAAACGCTCTCAGACACACCATGGGTTCTCAGAAACCTTCGGCGGAGCCGATGTCGTGGGCTTTCAGAAAGTGGATTTGGGCGATCGATCTGTGACGATTTGAAGCGGACCCAAGTCAAATGCCTGGGTATCAAGAAAAACAATGAAGCCACCGCCAGGAAAGGCCCAGAAAGTGGGGGGACGTCAAGCAAATGGCCCTGTTTTGGAGCCTGGTAGCACCTTGTGCCGCCGAACAGGGGGCACTCAAAAGAATCCCATGAATCCCCAGGTTTTTCACACCTGCACAAGAGGGGTCAGCGATTCTGCTGAAGCCTGATTTGGGTGTCTCGAAACACCCCCCCCCCAAAAAAAAAAAACAACAACAACAACAGACACGAAAAGATGATTGGTCCCCAGATGCCGTCTGGCTTTCTTCCACGCCTCAAGGTACTTCAAGTACCTGGTTGCAACTGTACTAGCCAGGCATTCTGTTTAAACCGCAAAAACCAATCGCCACACGCGAGTCACGGCCAATTCGGGTGGGTTCCGAGTCGGCCGATCGCGCGAATCGGCAAAGGCGCCTGTCTTGGTAGCGAGCTCATGGAGGTACCCATCCGAGAGCCAGGAGGTGACCTGTAGCACTGGTAAGATTTCGGGTCTGTCTTCTTTTTGGAGTTAGGAGCCCCTTGTTTAGTGGTATTGAAGGTAAACCAAGAGGAAGACAGCCATCATTTTTTCTTTTGGGGGGGGCCCTAAAAAGAAGAGCCTGTTGATTGGATAGGAAGTGGTTGGAGCTCCCAGATAACCTGGATCCAGTCTTCTGACCGGAAGCAACCATGGGAGTTCAACCGCTGTCTGAAAGGGTGACCCCCTCATTTTTGATCGGTTCACAAACAAAACTGCAGCGGACGCGCGAAGGCTTTGGCCATCCAAGTTCATGCTTGGCGGGTCGTGTAAACACATCAAAACAACCAACACTGCCCGCTTCCCTCCAAATATCGTAAGGAGGCAAGGCGTTGAAAATGCAAGGGCACCTTCTAAGGTTGGATGGGAAAGGACAAGGGTTCCCTATATGTCCCCTTACCAGTTGGGACAAGTGATGTTTGAGACAACTCGAAAGGCAGGCTTGGCTTGAAACCATGACACTGGCATCTTGCAGGTGGGCCACTTGGTTCAAAGGCTGGAGCCCCGAAATACCCCCGGTTTGGAGTTTGCGGGGTTGAGGTCCTGTTTCAAATCCAGATTTGTGGGAACCATGGACACCTTGGCTAAGTTGCCCATTGGACCCACAAATAAAAGCTTATATAGCCCTTTAGGGCCGTGACTAAGAATGGACCAAAAAGGGGGAACCAAAAGGTCGAAGGTCGATTCGCTTTGGGCAAGCGAGTTGGATCACTTTGGGGAACTTTTAAAAGAATCCCGATCACCTTTCAATTGAGGCCCGGCCCTCTCCATTGCCACCACCCCCTCATTCAGGCTTGGTGGACAATCCACCATCCAACAAACCCGAGAGGATGTAACAGGATTAGGTTCCAACAACATCCTAGTTGCCTTCAACAAGATTCGTGTGTTTTCTTGCTTTAAGAAGATCAGAAAGCTTTCCTTTCAAACATATATATATATATATAGCACTTCCTTGGAAAGACCTATCGAAATCGGCAAGGAGCCACCAAGCTCTTCTTGGGCTCCACCGCTTTCACCGCCACCTCATCCTTGCCCTCCGCCAACTCACGGATCCGCGCGGCGCTGTCCTCTGCAAGGCCTCGCAGCGGCTTGGGGTGACCCGGGTGTGGCTCAAAATTTGAGGGCTAGGGCTACGCAGGTGGTCTTTGCTTCCATCCGAGGGGCCAAAAATGGGCTCCACTTTTCTGAGCCACAGCCACGCCTCTTGTTCATCATTGTCAGATTGTCCTAAAGTCCCCCCCAAAATGGCCAGGAATTATATGGACCTCAAACATGGGCAGCAAACTCCAAAAGTAGCCTCCAGGATCTAGGAATCATTGCAGATAGTGCCCCACATGGCTAGGGGTTGCTCAAACCTGGCCGGCGCCGTAAAAAGGAGTGTCCTCTAGAATCTAGAAGTCATGGCTCTGTGTGAGGTTCATATCAATCTGAAGAATCTTGCATAACAACTTAAAGGAGTCTCTCGCGAAGGGACCCAATGCTCGTTGGGGTCCGTCTAGAGGGAAACCAAAGTTTAAGTATCTTGAAAGGTCGGCGGGAAAGAAAAATAGCTGTTTCCAACAGACCTCACGTGGATGTTGTCGGTTTGCTGAAACCTCCTACCACAACGGAAACCATGAACAGTCATGGTTACCACGCCTATCCCAGTACGATACCAGGCACGCCCTATAATTAACCATCCATGTTTCTTCTGGTTTTTTCTGGGATAGCTCGCTTGGATACGCACTAATGTGGCGGCCGCTTTCGTAGAGGGCTGCGCTATAGCAAGCAATTATCAAAAGGGTCTTTCCTCCAAAGCAAAACCACATCTGCGCCCATTGCTGTTTATCAGTTCATAGGTCTTCACGTATGTTCGTATATTCCCTTTCTAAGGGCTGCTTGTAAGGCCTTTCCAGACTTAGAGGCTTAGCTCTTAGACCTGGCAAACTCGGTTCTCAACCGGCCCCAAAGGGGGTGGGGAACCCCTCTTAAAGAAAGCATTGGCAATACTAAAGCAAGTATTGGCAATATCACAGTAACTAAATGCTGGCAATAGTACAGTGGGTATTGACCAAACACTAAAGTAAGTATTGGCAACATTAAAGTAAGCACTGGCAATTGCCAAAGCAAGTATTGGCGATAATGAAGTAAGTATTGGCAATTATTTAAGCAAGCAATACTAAAGTAAGTATTGGCAGTTGCTAAGGTTAAGTTTCGGCAATACTACAGAAAGTAGTGCCAAGCCAGGACTCAAGGAGCTATTGGCAATACTAAAGCAAGCGCTGGCAGTACTAAAGTAAGCATTGGCAACACTACAGCAAGTATTGAAGAAGCTCAAGTAAGTAGTGGGAGAAGAACGCAAAAAATTGGCAACTACCAAATCAACGATTGACAATAGCTTAGATTGGACCGTAGTGAATTGGACAATCCAACATGTCAAATGTTGACTGGCAAAGATTACAAGCAGTAGTACCACTACTGAAATTTGTCAGGAAGAGGAAAAAAACACCTTGACGGTTTTGCTCATTGCCCGGGATCAATTCAACTTCGGGTCACGGACCAGCCAAAAAGGCATGACGGAGTCCACTGAGCGACCAACTTGCGCTACCCAAATTGTTTGTGTGGCACCTGGGCAAAAATAACGACACTCACCCCAATAAATGTGGGGCAACCTTCCGTTGTGATGAAAGGGTGGGGTCCAATTTGGAACCCGTTTCGGGGTTGAAACACAAGAAAGCCATCTCGAACAAATGCAGTGACTGCGCCGCCTAGTGCCTGGGCGAGCTCTGAGCTATCGAAGCGCTGCAGGTCTGCAGCCGTGTCCACCTGTCACCCCCCCCAGCCAGGGAGTCTCTCCTGTTTGATCTGAAATTAAAACGGAAACCAAAAGCAAACCATTGACATTTTGGGGGACTGCTTTGAGGGTAATGTTGGGGTTCACAGGGAAACCTTAGGAAAGATCAGAGCTTTCAGGTGGGGGCAAAAGAGACAGTGGTTTCCCTGTCGCCAATTGAGCGTGGTCTTGTGTTTGTGCCCAAAATGGAGTTCGATGGTACTTTTGGTTTTCCAATATGAAACCAGAACTCGACAAGGCAAATGCCCGCAAAAAGACAAAAACGACACACCCATCTCAAAATAGCGAAACCTCCTCATGTTGGGCAATCTTTTCGGGTTTCCCTTTTTCACCGCGAAAAACCGTGACCCTTACCAAAAACAAGCCTCTTTCACAACCCCAACAAACTTCGGACCTTTTTCTGGGCAACCCAAAAAAAAGAACGCCTTCACAAAACCAAACCAAATCGCGCTCCCAAAACGGAAGCCTCACCCCCCAAAAACGACTTGCCGGCCGACTCCGACTCCGCCGCCATCCGGCGCTCGCGCACGCGCAGGCGGCGCGCACTTGCGCCTGGAGCTGCTCCAGCTGCGGGGCCTTGGCGCCGAGGCCGGGCACGCGCGGCGCGGGGGTGGCCGCCAGCAGGCGCTGCGCGGCCTGCGGGGAGTCCACCACGCAGCAGCCGCTGCCTGGCGCGGTCTCCGGGGGGGGGGGGAGCTGGGGGGTGTCGCTACCTGGAAAATGGTGTCATGGACCCACTCTTTAAAGGGTCATGGACTGCAGGTAAGGAAGGGAAGGGAGTTTGGGTAGTGGTGGTTGAATGAACTGGTTTAGGGGTTTCCCTCAAAAAGGAAGCCAAATCGGGGATGGGTTTTTCTTGGGGTTATTTCAGTTCTTATTCCCTCAGAACAAGCAAGCAACAAGCGGCCCGGAGTCAACAGCTAGGCCTGAAACCGCGATCTCATTTAATGATTTGCACAACCTCGAAAGCAAAGCGGAAGGCGTTGGCAACGTTTTTGAGCTTCCAGTGGGGGTTTCTGAAAATCGTGCACCCCAGTGTCATTGCTTTTAAAGGAAAACCAAAGGGGAATCAACAGGAATCCTGCAGGACCCCAAATGGGGGGATTACCCCAGGAGGTTTTTACCCCAGCCTTCCTTCCCCCCTTCTGAGGGTGGGGGAAACACATCCAACCGATTTTTGGTGAACCTTCCCAGTCCGGTGCTGGTAGGGAAGGAACTTCTTGATGCTTTTTCCATTTTATGTGAGGAATGAAATCGATTAAAATTAAGGCACCCTAAGCCCCAGCGGGTACTGCCCAGCTGATTTCTATAGAGCAACCCTAAGGATAAACATAGTCCGCTCAACTAAACATCGTCAACCAGCTTCGGACTCTTGTAATACGTGGTTTTCCTTTTGGTTTCCTTCTTAACCAAGTTCAAGCGCACAAGACAAACACTGCGCCATCCCAAACAAAGTGGGCCGCGCTGCCTCTGTTGAGATGGCGAAGGCGATTTGGTCACAATCCAACGCTGGCAATACATATATATATATATATATATTATTGTACCCATTGTAAATTGAAAAGGCGGATATATGCTGATATGTAGATTACAGTAGTAGATGATGTAGATGTATACCTGGAGTCTCCATGACCCGATCAAACAATGAGGGTCATAACCCAAAGAAAGCGTCCAATCCGCCCACATCCGCTCGCTCCCGTCGCCTTTGGGCGGCTTGGCCGCCACCGAGCCTAGCTTCGCCAGCAGCTTGTTGCAGGCCACCCCCGCGCTGAGCGAAACCCCCACCTCGACGCATGGGCTCGTCGGTTCGTTGGGGGGTGAACCCGTTGTTGGGGAATCCCTACGGGGCGGTCCGAAATGGGGAGGGGTTGCCTACCCGGTATCTAGGTCCTCCAGTAGAGAGGTTAGAATATGTTGGTACCAACTTTTCTCTGGAGTCTATTTTAGTAGGGGAACCCTCCCCCCAAAAAGGGTAAAAGGGCACTACTGCGGGACCTAGCGTTTTTGGGGAATCCCGAAATGCTGGTCCGAAATGGGGGGGTGTTCCCCCTAAGAATCAAAGGAACCCTAAGGAGTGCTAAGCAACCCTAAGGCTCTCGTTGAGAGCCCACCCCCGTTGTACCTACCCCACTTGAGGATTCCATATTCAAGGGGAAGTTAACAGGAAAGCCCTTATTGTTGGTGCATAATCTTATACACATCCTAAACAAGATACCCAAACACTCTTGAAAATCAACTTCCGGAAAGCCTGGTTCTTCGGGCGTAGAGCGTCGCGTTGGTCAAGGAACCTAACTTGATTGTGTAACTTGCAGCAATCTCTCACGTAGCTTGTCCGTGTCACTTCCCGGCGCAACTTCCTTGTGCAACTACTTCACTCGCGCAACCAGCGCCATATTCTTCCCGAAGAACCCTTCGCAATGCGTTCGGGAAAGCATAACATATACCTCTGACACGGTTTTCTTAGGGATCATTCTGACCCATTCCCTATGGAACCAGCGAGAAGGGGGTGTCGGATACTTTCTGCTCCCCTGCTAAAAGCTTAAATTGAGCGGATTTATTGGGAAAACCCATTTTAGTTGGCAAACAGTTAAAGTCCTAACATCCCTTGGCAACATGCACCAAAGGGGTTCTGACCCATGCTCTATGGAACCAGCGAGAAGGGGGTGGCCAGCCCTTTTCACAAACCGCTCCGCGGAGGTCGCGTCGGGCCACGGAGGACTTCAACTCGCGCGCCAGGTCTTGCGCCAGCTCCGCCGCGTGGGCCAGGCTGGCCTCAGCAACCCCGCGACGAACAGATCAGCTCGGTACTGAGTAGGGGTTCTGACAGAATGAAAGATCCACACCCTTCTGGTGTCCTGGGAAAATTGGAAAATAGCTAATTGGCACCTTTTTGCTTTTCTTGGGAAAAATGGAAATTAGCTATTTGGCACCCCGCCTGCTGCCTCCCAAGCCCAGGTAGCTCAAAGATACACCAAAAGGTCGGGCAGGGTCCATCATCTCAGAACCATGACTTGCCCTACCCGCTTGAGGGAAACTCGAATGAAACAGCTTGCCAAGCAGTAAAGAAATGTTGGAGCCCCCACCTGTCAAAGGGAAACCTGACCCCCGCCCATATCAAAGGGAAACCTGAGTCAGATGGCAGAAGCAGGGTTTCCCCGTTCAAAGGGCAACCCAAGTCTCAGTTTAAGCAGTGCTCATCATACCCCCCACCTTCACAAGGAAGCCTGAAATTGTGGCTGTTTGCAAAAGCCTTTGAGGGTTAACAGGCTAAAGCAAGAAAGGGTGGGAGATGAACGGTTTAAGCAAGAGAGCTTTTGAACTTGTTTGAGAAGTTGCTGCTTGACTTGGCTGGTGCCACCCAGCACAACTTAATGAAACATCGCAAGTCGTCTTGGGCCTTCCTGCGTACATGATTTGCATTGTACAAAAAACAAACGCTATGCCAGGGCCTCTTTGCCAATGGTGTCCCGGTGTTGTACCATTTCGCCCACTTCAGCAAAGCCAAACAACCGGAATATCTGTCAAGTGGGCTTTTGGATGGCTTCCTGAAAAGCGCCGTTTCACGGCACAGCTCGGTGTCCTGGCAAACCATGCCCAGACCAGCTTTGGGAATGTCACTTGCCTTGACTCGAAGGAAAGGATGCTTGCAATAAAACAGCATGTCTTTTGGAAGCCCCCTTCTAAAGACGCAGAGGACTTGACCAGAAGCAAAACAGTGTGAGGCCTGGTGTGTAAACCAGGGCTTCACAAATGGCACCCTCGGAACCAGCTGATGGAAAGAACATGGGGCACGGAGGGGATAGGCAACATATCTATTGAACTCAACCGCGACGCATCCCCGCAGCATTTGAACCCCAGCGTCTCTGACAAAATGACACGATAGCGCTGTGTGCAGTCGCCAGCCCGTTTCTTGGCCATACCTCGGGGCTACCGTTGTTTGGCTTGCCGATGGGGTAAGTTTGTAAACCCAAAATCCGAAAACCAGAACAGAAGAAGACTTTGCGAAACCGAAACTTGCCTGTGATGAGCCCACGCCTGCACTACTGCCCAATAGATTAAGCGCAGCTAAAGCAGCGACGGATCCTGTGACGTCCAGAAACGCCTCGTCCACGCTGATTCGTTCCTTGGCCGTTACGACATCCGTGCGGCGCCCTGGCTCCACATACACATGATTGCGAGCTTTCTGGCAAAAAAAAACACACGCAAAACGTTGGCTGTATGAAAGTTCGTGCTGCCTAGGTTTCGCACCTGGGCAGTTGCTGGTCAAATGTACTTTTTCGCGGGTGAGGCTATCAATTGCCGTCAGGATTTCCTTATAATTTCTCGGCCTGGCCGTACCTCAGCTACCAAGTCTGAAAGCTATTGCTCCTTCATGTTAGTGAAACCCGCCAAAGAAGAAACAAAGGCACCACGTAGTACTGATCTGGGATATGGCCATGAAGATGCTACCGCGCAGCGGGATCTCGCTCATGGACAAGGCAACCAGTTGGGGGCAAAGATTCGACGAACCTCCCCATACCTTCCCCGCCCCCAACATCCCTTGCAAGGATGTGCACTAAAGCGGGTGATGTTTAGGCTCAGCCAGAACCCAGAAACCAAAACACAGTTCAGCTTCTTGAGGCCACGACTCGCGACTAAAGTGGGGAAGGGGAGCGTTGTTTTCTCGTTCTTTGGGTTTAGGGTTTAGGGTTTTAAAAGAGTTTTAGGGTTTATTTCATCTATTTTTGTCGGTGAGCTGCGGTCGACTCGCTTTGGGCAACGCCCCAAGGTGCGGCCGGGGGTCCAGCACGAAGGACACATTCTCGCGAGCCAGGATCTCCTGAACCGGGCCGGGCAGGGATCCCCAAAAGGCACGCGCGACAAACACAGATCGGCACAGAAAGTCCTTCGTTCATGTGAATACACAGCACCAGGAATCTGAATCCTCATGAACATAAGGAACCCGACTCATGAGCAAGGTCACACAAATCCTCTCAAGGTTGCGATTCCATTCGCCCATCAACTTGTGTTAGTCCATGTCAACCACCATGAACCCTGTCGCCTGTAGTTTTGCGAAGATCTCGCGGCTCACCGACTGGTAGGGGCCGTACCACACCCGCGGCCCTCGGGATTCATTCGGCTTGCCACAAGTCCGCCCGAGCACAATGAGGAGAATTCCGCCACCTGCTTGCATTGCGATACCTCATGAAGCATTTCCGGAGGTATGAAATTCATCTCATGAAGCCTTACCTCAGGTACGCACATCATCTTACAGACATCTGCCGAAATCGGCAGGCGTGGGATGCCTTGGGCCTTGGACCCCGGCCAGGCCAGCGCCGGGTGAAGGCGTGCACCAACTGCCCACCGATGGGCTGAACCAAACGCTGGGCCTCCGAGGGCCGCATGTGCTTCCGCACCCCAGCCGCCTGGCTGGAAGGATTCCCCGCTCGGTTGGGGGAGTCGCTCTTCGTTTGGTCTCCATGGCGTCCATGGGGCCGTTTCGGGGCCATTTCTGGGGACTGGGCAGGGCCAGGCGGGACCCAAGGCATCAAAAAGAAGCTGCAAAGACCCGAAGGAGCTTGTTAGTCAGAGCCGTTGAGATTGCGGGGTTTTGTTGGAGGGTGGGCAGGGGTTGGGGGAAAACTCTAAAGACTCGGAAAACAAACTTGGGTTTGTAGATCATGGATGCCTGTGAATTCAAAGGAAGTCAAAGGTTGTGGCCGGGAAACACCGTTTACCAGTCGAAGGAACCCTTTCTTTTCGGAATCCCTTTGTGCTTTTTCCAAAATGCGGATCACTGGAACCCAAAGACTCGAGTCGAGAGCCTCTTGAAATGAGATCCGTCGAAATGTGTCGTAACAGGCAACGGAAACAGTCAGAGCGAAAGATGGCGCAACCTCCCCGATTCGGATTCATCCTTGCAGACGTACAGCGAGTGCCACCTCGTTTCACTACCAATTCTTCCCTTGGGGTTGATCATCCCGAGGCCCTCAAAGGCGTGCCGGGCCCCCTTTCTGGAGCCAGAGGGCGCAAAGGAGGAGGCAAGGCTCGGCTCGCAGGAGAACAAGGATCAGAGTACTGGAGGAGGACCACTCCGCTTCATGGGCCAAAAACGACACCCCTGTAACACAGCCAGCAGCCAATAGCAAAGTGATGAGTTTTGGAGTGCGAAGAGCCCTCATGGCCGACCTCGAGCAGGCCGAGACGCCGAATGAGGCCAAGCTCTATGAGGTGTGGCTTCGGGCTTCGGTGGAAAGGCTGCAGACAAGCTTAAGATTGCCCGGTCTATCAGGACCGAGCAAAGGGGATTACCCTCTTGCTGCAGGTGTTGCCGACAAGCCCCTAAAAGGCCATGGGACATGTTGTGGCTTTCCCTTGGATTCTGGGCGAATTTACTAAGTCCTCAGTCCCCCCATGTCCCTCCCAACAGAACCATATGGTGGACCTCTTCTAAATTTTGGCTTGTATTTACAACCCACCACATTAGGGTTCACAGATCAGCACGAGCGAGGCCTTGGCTTCAGGGCTGATGCAAATAACGTCGTTGTACTGCCACAGCACCTGACAAAGGCTTCGGGGAAAATCGGTGGAGAGCAAAACTCGGCGTTATGCCCTCGAGCCCTAAAACAGAAATCAAATGTCAGCAAGAAGTGGGAGGCAAAGTGATTTCAAGGACAGATTGCCATGCAGCTGAACAGGTTGAACCCCAATAGATTGAGTGGTATTGATTACAGTTTGGAGGTGTTCCAGCCAGTGAGACTTTGAAACAAGAGGTGCGGTCCCATGTTCAAAGAGGCTGGCAGAAAAACAAATACCCCTTTCAAGTTGTCATCAAACAACACCCCGGGTCTGACTGACAAACCTTTGCTTCCATTTGCTGAAGTCCCCTGGCAAAGATATAAAACAATACTTTCAGCAGTGATAAATTCCCTTCAAAACCAACAGGGGACATAAACGTACTCCTCAGCAACTGGAAGTTGTTGCTCCCCTTTGAGAAGTCTTAGGGCTTCCCAAAGCGCCAGTCACCGAGGCACCAAGCCCTCCGCCTTGAGCGATGGGTCATAGCGCCGATGCACCGACAGGAAGAAACAGTCCTGGGAAGAAGCTCCCGATTTGCTGGTTCGTGGGACATGAGAGAATGACGCCTAGACGCCATCTTCAAGGGGATCTCTGGGCTTATTCCCATTCCCAAAGCCATGTCTTTCCTGATTGAGAACCAGCAAAACAATGTGGACACCTGCCCAGAACTCACTCAGTCACTCACTCAAGGCTCCCATGGGCTTCTGCAGGCGCAGCTTTTGTTTGTGGGGGGGGCTCAGGCCCAAACATGGCAACAAAATGAAACAAACAAACGTGCAAAACGAGAACGAGGGAGAAGGCTGCTGGGAGTGTTTTTGCACCCAGCGTCCACATCCAAATGTAGGATGATCCGAGACTTCGCGCTCAGCGCCGCTGGCACCTTTCCAGCAGCCTGGCGGAGTCTCAGTCAGGCAACTCCCAAAGGCCAAGAGAAACACTTCGCAGGTGTCCCCCTGAGGAAACCGGGGGAAACGGCACCCCAGAAAAGAAACAGCTTCATGCACCAGGTTGATTCATTGGACCTGAACCCCTCTTCAACGAGCCCGGAGTCCCGGTGAAACCAAAGAAGCCTTGCAGTGGCCTCCCAGACACGTCATGAGTCATGAGGTCTTATCCCCATTGCTTGGGCTGATCAGAAAAGAGCCACTCCCTGCAGGACTAGAAGGGCAATCTGTTCTGAACCTCTACAAAGGGAAAGAATCCTCTTCGCAAACCGCAAGGAGTAAGAATCACCTTTGAACAGCCCAATATCCGGTAAGTGTGTGCTTCTCCAAAAATGGATTGGATCATCCGCAAGGGGAAGAATCACAGTATAGAGTGCCCTTCGGTCTCGGATCCTGGGAAGAAAAGCGTTTCTATGCCCAACCTCAGAGAAATGAAACCACGGTAGGGTCGAACCCCCCCCCCACACGCATTTCTATGGCCAGCCGGGAATGGCTTGAGGATGAGACCCAAAGGCCCAGCGAAGCTTCCATGAGCCAGCAAACCCAGATGTCCGAAACTGGATCCAACCCAGTGCTGTGGATCTTACTTCCCCAATTCTTGCCAAAGTCAGATCCACAGCACTGGATTTGCGGGTTGGGTTTGCCGAAACTCTGGATCGAAGCCTTCGTGTCAATGGCGATTGCCATGCCATTAATGGCACCTGAAAAGGAAGCCTTCGAGAAAGTATGCCTTCCGGGTACCCTTCAGGTGATTCTCTCTGTCCAAGAACCAAAGTGGATCGAGGTTTTGGGGGTCAAAAGAAAAACATTCGTCTGGAACCCTCCCATCAGCTTCCATGATTGGTACGCTCCAAAAATCCCAAGTTCCGCCTCCAAGGTGCCGGGTGCCGCCAGTGTCAGGTGCACTCCCACTCCGCGCACCTCCTGACAGTTCCAAAGGCAGCGAATTCCGGGCCAATCGGCGCTGGTCAAAATTTCAACAACCAGAAAACACGCAATCCTTGAGAAAAAAAAAAGGGGGGGAAAAAAAAAACAGAAACCTGAAGATGGGTGACCTCACGCTACCAGGTGAACTTGCTCGCAAACAGGTTGAATCTCTGGTTCCCAAGCCTTTCTTGTCACATTTGTCACCAACTAGTTTCAATCAACAAGGGCAACTCCGGGAGTGCTGTTGAACCATACATCGCATTGAAGCAAACCCAAAAATGAGGGGTTTTATGGATGGACTGTGGGCAAACACAAGACGTGACATCATTGCGACGCCAAGGTCGGGCATCCTTGTGACGACGGCCTAGGCGGTGGGGCAGGGGGCGGGGGTGCAAATGACGACTCCCTCCCGCAGATGCAGTTTTGCCAGCAAAGAATCAAGTTGGACACCCTGCGACTTAAGCAATTTGAAAGACTTGTGCGGTTGAATTTGGTTGCATCGCTTTCTTTGTAGTTGGGCAATCCCCCGTAATCCTTTTGTGGGCACCTTTAAACAATAAACATCACCCCACCCAAAGGAAAGTCATTTTTAGAGAGGTCGATATCTTGAGGCTTCAGAAAGCGAAACGTAGGTATTTCCAAGAATGGGGGGAGCCCAAACCTTGCTGGTTTCCTTCTGGTTCGCCATTCAGACCACCAGGGTTCACGCATGCTTTGAAGGCCCAAATTCGATGATTGAATCCACCAAGGAAACATCAGATTCCAAGCCCCCCGCCGGTTTCCCAAGCCAGTTCGGGGAAAGGGACACCCTGTGGGGCAAAAAGGTCGGTGCATGCCAACTGACCCATGTCGAAGTCTGGCAATGAGTCTTGGACCTTCCTCGGTTAAATCGCTACCGCCCAGGGACCGTGAGAAAAAACGGGGAGACTTGTGGCTCCGCATTTTTCGGTGAAACTACTTACATGGATAAGAATCACATATGTTTCTTCCTTTTACCTTGGCATTTCTTTAAGTACAGTTGCGGATGGCTTTGCAACGGAAGCAACTTGGACGCTGCGCAGATGTTGCCACTCAGCTCGTCACTGTCCACGGACTTGTACCGAGGTGGGAGGCTTGGGCTGGCTAACTGTTGTTTACCTGGAGTCTCCTTCGGACCCTTCAAATATGAAGCAAAAGGGCCCCTTTTTAGGTAACCTCATGTTTTAAGAGTCAGAAGGAGCGGCTCCTCGGGCTGCGCCTGCGTGCACCCAAACAGCCGCCAGGCCTTGCGACGGCTGCATGGCTTTCTCGAAACTTGGACCAAATGGGCTTGGCTGTCCCTTCGGTTTTCCAAATCCCAAAAAGGGTACCCTCAAAAACACATAGCCTTTTTGCCTGAATATCACACCCAAAAAGAAATTCGCGTTCATCGCTTGAAACCAGTCAGAAATATAGGATCCCTTGAACAACCGCTTTGATGTAGCATCCCTTTTTCTGACAGAAAGGCCTTTTTGCCACCTTTTGGGGAACATTGTTCGACCCCCTTTTTAAGGGGGTCGCCAAATTTCTCACAAAAGGTGGCAAAAAGATCCTCCTGTGTTCTGAGTTAAACCCATGTTCAGCAACCCAACCAGAAGGTTGGTTCTTTGAGGCGAGTTTGGATGTAGACTTCGAACCTCAGACCAGCCCATCGGCACCAAGAAGGTTTTTGGCGAACCATTTTCCACCAAGTCACTCGAGGGAAACGCTGACGATGGATTCCGCGAACTGCATATCATGAACTACTCGAAGAACCCTGGCCAAGGTGGAGTTCAACAGTTGTTGTTGGTTCCCCTTTACAGGTCTGGGTCTGGTTGTTCGGGCAAACATTTCCCAACGTTCAAGCAATCCAAAGAAGACATGTATATATATATATATATATGTGTATGTATGCATATAGAAATACTTGTAGAAATACTTGTTATATATATATATATATAGAAATATAGATAGATAGATAGATAGATAGATAGATAGATAGATAGATAGATAGATAGATAGATAGATAGATAGATAGATAGATAGATAGATAGATAGATAGACAGATAGATAGGTAGATAGATAGATAGATAGATAGATTGATTAGGTTAGTTAGTTAGATATATGATAGATAAATATATAGATTAGATTAGATTAGATTAGATTAGAGTAGAGTAGAGTAGATTAGATTAGATAGATAGATAGACAGACAGACAGACAGACAGATACACAAATACATAGATACATAGATAGATAGATAGATAGATAGACATACTATGTGTCCTACCAGTTTCCTTCTGGGTTGTGGTTGGCTTTTCATTGGCCTCAAGAAGGAGACTCATATTTGCCCACTTCAAGACGGGTAACACCTCGAACGTCGACGTGCTGAGTGCATGAACCTGGGAGCTTCTAAAAACCTCGACGCTGTGTGCCGAAGGTCCCAAACGGGTCGTCATCCTGATCACTGTTTCGGGTGACTGATCATCATCCCTGGGCCATTCCCATACCCCTGCGACATCCGACATTAACCCTCTAAACTGCAAATTGCCCACCCCTGGAAAACCCTCAAATGCAGCCGCTTTGAGGGACCCATCTGGTAACCCAAAGTTCCAACCCCCTTTCTCTTCCCTTTGTTGGGTAGCTTTCCCTTTGAAACCGGGCAGGCAAGCGACCAGGACAAAAAAACACCGGCCCTCCCCGCCCGCCTCTGCCAGCCCCAGCTGCACCGACTTCGCATCCGCCGCGTCCACGCGGAGCTGTGCCGACCGGGAGATCACGTCGCAGCCGCCACTGCCCACGCCGTTGAGGTGGGGCGCGTCCGGCCGAGCGCGCCAGGCCTGATGGCGGAGATCAGCAACAGACGTGTCTGAGATGGGCCCAACTCGGTTGCGAAATCTGCTCCCCTGCTAAAAGGTTAACTTTTAATGGCTTCATACGGAAAACCCATTAGTTGGCAAAAAGTTAAAGTCCCAACATCCAAGCAAAATGCAGCAAAGCCAAACTGGGCTGTTCCCAAATCCCCTCCTAAAAGTTTGACTTTTGCTCGTGAAAGTGGAAACTACCGCTAAACCCGAAAAACCGAAGAGGACGACTGGGAACCAAGCAAAGAATTCGGGATGGATTGGAGCGAAGCTCAAACCAGTGAGAGCCACGTGCTCATTTGACAAGTTGACCTCAAAAGGACACATGAATTGAAGGTAGACTTAGACTACCTTTCCCCCTTCCCTAGTCTCTCCTTCACGTACGTCTGGGCTTTGCTTGTTGCTCATGCCAAAGGATTCATGCAACCACGCCCCCCCCCCCAATAAGCGGGAATCTCTGCACTGGTAGCTCATCATTTTCCAGGGTTGCAAAACACCTAACTATAACAGGAAAATCCTGATTTGGGTTTCTGTTGATTTCTGTTTAAACCAACCTAAACATGACAAGCCTCGACAATCACACACACACACAAACAGAGCCGACATCGAAGGATTACAAGGCAACGTCGCTATGAACGCTTGGCTGGCAGTTATCCCTGTGGTAACTGTGCTGACACCTCTAGATATTTCTCAGATCTAAAGGATCCATAGGCCATGTTTGCACAGTTTGTATTCGTACTGAACATTAAAATCAAGCAAGATTATGCAATTTGGCAACCTTGCTACATTATGACTCCCAAACCAGAATAAGCCGCTCCCCCCGGTGGAGGACCTTCACATTGAGTGTTTTACACGATAATCCCAGATGTTCTGGACCTAAAATGGGACAACACACCCATAAGGTTAGGCAATGCCCCTCTGGGCAGACACGCAGTATTTACCATGGAACGCAACGTTCTTCAACAAAGTGCGCATGTCGGTACCATTCAATAAAAACATAGTGAAGGATATTACCCTTGCTCCAACTTACGTGGCAGGTACCTGAAAGAATAATTTCCTTTTGAAGGGACCCCCTCTCAGTTTCCCATGTTAGTGGGAGGGAGGGTACCCAAAAACTGTGGCGGCCCCCTTTTCCATTCAGGGTGTCGGGTACCCCAAGCTGGGCTGCCCTCAGATCCCCCGCGAAAAGCTTCACTTTTATACTGGGTTAAGTGGAATTTACCTCTAAACACCAAAAAGCTATAGCAGGCTAAGGAGCCTAACGGCTGGGAGCAGGGTTCGTTTGGGCGACAACCAGGTTCAAGGCGCAAAAACAAGGGGGCCAAAGTGTTGTCGCCCAAACGAACCCAAACAAAGTGGCTGCCCTCGCGTTCGATTCGACGTCCCTCTCGGCCTTCACGGTGATCGAGGAGGCCCGTTTCGAGTGCCGCCGCAGGCGTCGGAAGGCCTCCTCCGTCAGCTCCACGACGAAGGCCTCGTGTCCCGGGTGCCATAGGTGTCCTTTTAGGGGAACTAGATGGATATCCCTGGTAGATGATCTTGCACCGCCAGCTAAACCAGGAATCGCCCTCTATTTTTCGACCCAAACCACCAAAAAGGACACCTATTCCGAAACGCCGAAACCCGAAACGGCCCCCGCGCGGAAGGCGAAGGGGGTTAGACCATGCTCCGTTTAAAGGCACCGGGCCGGGTTTTTGGAAGGTCGGGTTCTCCAGGTGTTAGTTGGTGGGAGGCGTTTTTTCTGTTCATCAACCAAGTAACCAAGTTTAGTGGGGGGTGCTTCTCCCTTTGCTGCGGGGAATCAGACCACTTTTGGAGGGCAAGACTCCCTATCAACAAAACACAGAGGTCGATTAATACGGGGTCAACATTATGATGCTATTGCCCGGGGAAAAACAGAGGCTACATCGTTGCCCGGGAAAACGCAGAACTGTTCCCAAAGTTGAAGGTTCTCGATCCAACCAACTAGCCGCCAAGTTGAGGTCGCCGTTTTTCGATGAATCCGCCAAAATGATCTCAAGGCAAAGCGGACAAGCACATAGGTGGGGAGCATGATGCAAGAACAAAGGCACAAACACAACTACAAGGTGGCTGATGAATTCCGAAAGTCGATGTCTGTGATCCAAGCCAATGTGAAACACACACACACACACACCTACACCCTCGGTGGTTGGCAACATCTACAAGTTGGTGTTGTGTTTGAATGCAACCAGGTAACAACAGGTGTTTCGGGTTGGTAGCTGTGTGAAAGTCCAAAAGGCACCCCCAAAGAAAACAAAATAACTTGCAACCCCTATTTCCCATGGTTGTTGTTTCGGAGTTTAAGAGTCTTGTCTCCCCGCCCTCCGAAAATTAGGCATGACTGCAAATTGATTGAAACATCTGTCCTTGTTTCCCTGTTTGTTTCAAAGGGGCGTCTTTCCCCGGATAAACCATTCGACAGGTGCACGGCTTTGTGTCGGCCCTTGGGCCTTTACCACCTGGGGGAAGCACTTCGACCGTGTCTGGGATTCAAATGGTTTGGCTTTGCACTTGGTTTGGGTTCAAATCATTGGAGTGCAGAGATGAGGGAGGATATAAAGATACTTCAGAAGATATTGTTTTACTTTCCAGAATCCAGAACTGACAGGACCACACATGAAGCAAATAAAGACCCGCTCCGTGCGCTGTGCGCGTTTTGCTGGCACGGAAACTTTAGCGATATGTTGGCCTCGCGGGCACAGACTGGAAAGGGAGGCCCCTAGTAAAGGAACGTGGGTGAGCTCGCCTTACCCCATCAGTCGTCATGAATTCCCCTGACAAACGAAAACCAAAGTCAGCCCTGCGGAGCCTTCCCCTGAAAAATGCCCCCCGAACTACAACGCTTGGGGTCAACCCCAAACCTTACAGGGGAAAACCAACTCCCAGGTCCCAGCATTGGCTTTCCATCCCTTTCTCGGGGATAAGGAAAACCCAAAACCGAAATCCGGTCCAAACCCCTTGGCTTTGTTTCCAAGGACGTCATTAAAACCATGCTGGGAATGTAAAACACATTCCCTTTGCAGCCCCAAAATCTACCACTAAAATAGCATCTGGGACCTGGAAGACAAGTTTCCTGGAGCACCCCCTGTCAGCTGCCATGGCAACGTGGAGCCACATGCATGGCTGTGGATCAAATATGAGTACCCAAAATAAAACCCGGGTAAATGGAAACATGAACTAAAACCAAACCTGCGGTCCCCTGGTGGTTTAATTCTGACCCACACCAATGTGTCCAACCTTGCTACCCATTCTGCTTCGTGCCTTGGGAGAGATCTTGGACATAGCATCTGGAAGCTCAGTTTCCTGGACCCCCTGTCAGCTGCCAGCGTGGAGCCACATGTTTCCCGCAGTCCCGCCTGCAGCTTGTCCCAGCTCTCAAAGCGCACGCCCCAGGCGATCTGCGCGCCCACGCTCTTCCGTGAGGGTCGGGGGTCCCAGGGCCGCTCGTCCAAGCCCCGGCTGAGGGCATGCAAACACCGGGCCTGGCGCCGATTTTGGGCCGCGCCCGTGGGCTTTGTTGAGGCCCTGTTTTTTGTTCCTCTCCTGGCTTGGACCGGAGGGTGGTTGTTTTAACATATGATCATGTTCTCAAATGTTGGACCCCTATTCTGCGAAACATCCCTTGGCCAGAGGAAAGGAAAATGAACCAATTGGGATTGCTTTGGTTTTCCTTGTCAGCCTCCCTCTAAAGAAGACAAACCAAACACATATCCCCTTTTAAACGTCATCCGCTTTCGAGAGACGCGAAAGGTGATGTGAAAAACTGGCGTGAAAAGGATGTTTAGGCCCAAGGAACATTCATGGGCAAGCCAGCGCCACAAGGTCTATTTCAGGAAGAAAAACTGTGCATGAGTACCCTAGGCGCCAGCTCTTTCAGGTACCAAAGGCGGGCAAAATGGAGCTTCAGGACAAAGCCATGCCATGGGGTTCTCGAAGGGCACTTGTTGGATAGGTAAATCGAAGAAGAATAACAAAAAACCTTGGCCCACGGGGTACATAGAACAACAATGTGCTGATTGTGTTCCATAGTCAGTCTAGCCCATATTTTTTGAAGACCCCAGCTTTTAGTGGGATGGATGAAACTTGATGAATACTAACTCAAACCCTACATTCCTTTGTCCATCCACAGAATGTCATGGTCAAACTCCCATCACGATATCACAGTTCCCTTATGAATCCTTACGTTGGCTGTCCCTACGTTCATGACCAGCCCTACCAACCCATAGACGAATCAGGAAGTGACTGTGGCCCATATCTACGTGGACATGGTACCCCTAGTCGGCCCAGTCTACACCTTCATATTGGTAGTCTCATTCCGTCAAGGTTCACGGCCGCAAGTAACTCAAAGCAACCCAAGTAAAGGAATCGATCTCGTGACCATAGCCATGACTTGCCACACACCAATATGCAGACCAAACAACTTGTGCTGACTCTGCTCCAGATTCAGCCTGCACTGAAACCTAACGTTTTTGGGAGGCGCCGCCAGATCTTGATCCAAGCGCCTGCTTGGGGCCAAAGAGTTGCTGCAGCTTTGGCAGCGCTGTGTTCCGCAGCTGTGACACGGTGAAGACTCCTGCTCGTTTTTTTTTTTAGAAAAGGCTCCGCCTCGGCTCCCGCAAGGGCTCGAGCTTTTGGGGCTGAGGCCCTGTCTGCAGCTGCCTCGAACTTTCTGCGGTCATACGCACCCCTGTGGCCAGTACGGGAAAGCTGACCATGGGTTGTGAATAAACCTCGCTGACATGGCCACCTCATTGGGCACGTTTCTTGCAATGCGCAGTGCCTCATTCCCCACAAGGCCCAAGGGCCTTGCAACGTGCTCAAAACCGCAAGCAAGTGACCCTCCGTGTCATAGGCCCACATTTTCAGAGAGATGCCATACTGCCACATTTGGAGCCCGGACAATAGTAGGTTCTTCCGGCAGGGGAGACGGGAAATTTGGAGCCCATTGGGTTTGTATAGGACATTTAATGCCTGTGCCCACATGTTCTTCCAAGTCTTTCCATGAACCATGTCCTCCCCGCAAAAAATGTCACTCGCTCATTTGGAAGTTTCGTATGAACGCATACAACACCCCAAGAGGCCTTTGGGTCTTTCGGTTGAAGGGAAGCGAAATTCGACCAGATTCAGGCAGATTCAACAAGATTCTGCAGAAGCTAGATTCAGCCAGATTCCAGCCGGATTCGGCCAGACCAAAGCCAGCCAGAATCAGCCAAATTCACCATGGAATCGTATCCTTCCCACCTCTCTTCCCAAAGGGGTCACATGGCCAAGTAGCTCCCGCCGGAGGTCACTCAAACCATTAGCCAAACCAAACCGCTCGGCACCGGACCGGTCCTGCGTCATGGAGCTGTTTCTCACTCTCCGGGCCCACCGACGGCAAGTCCCGGACTGGGAGATCCTCCAAGAGCTGTGCGCTCTCCAGGACACATACGCCTGACCAATGGCTTGGCCATGACAGAAAATCAAAACCATAAAGATCAGTATGAAAATCATGAAAAAACCAAATGGCTTGGCTTTGGCTTGGCCATGGCTTTGGTTCTGATCTTGTTCACCATAACCATAAACATCATTTTGGAGGAGACCCCAGCCTGTGCTCCTCTTAGGAAATACATCTTGGACCCTCAAAACTAGGATGTTGACCCCTCAATAGTTGCGGCTTCCCATGTTTGAGGCTTTGGGGATCCAGGTCTATGCTTGCCCGGAGTGAAGGAATGCCCAAGAACAAGATTCGCCCTTGGTAAGGTCAAGAGTCGGATTTAGGTCCGAAGTTACCCGACTTGACCCAAATTCCCGTTTAGGCCGGGGACCCATTTATGTTGGTGTTTTCTGATGTGTACCTTTGCGGCAGCTGTGTTGGCGGAAACCATCCATTTGTGCGGCTGCCCTACTTTGAGACAGCCGCATTGTGCCAATCAAGTATTTCATGGACGCCAGGTATCCGCCTGCTGTTCCCAAAGCGTCCTCCATGAAATCGGCGCGGGGTAAAGCTCCCAGCCTCTTCGAGAAACAGAAAGGAAACCAAAGGATACAAAACACTGTTTAACTCTTAGGGTTTGGGCATCTAGGAAGCAACTTCCCAGAAAAAGGCCATCAAAAAAAAGGTAGCTTTCCTCCGACTAATCAACCGGGAACCAACGATGTATTGATTCATCCCAGGCTAACCCAGAACTGCTTGGAGACTATAAGGGAACCCCAGAACTTGTACCCTGAGTTCCCAACATCCCCCAAATTCAACCAATCATTCACCTCCTGTTGGAAGCCCTGAGTCTTTATATATATATATATATATATTAATTTTCAAGGTACTTCCTCCTGCGCGCTCCGTGCCCCGCCTGGGTGCTCCAAGCAGCGGCTTCCCCGCTGGCAGCTCGGGCACCCAGGGCTCGGCTTCGCCTGCTTCGTGGCCAGCCTCCGAAGAGAAATCTCCGATCGATTCGCGCCGCGCGGTGCTCGAAGGAATCAATCAGCCCCAGTTTATAAGTAGGGGAGTGATCAGGCACGCAACCAAGCAGCCAGCAACCCAGACATCTCGGGCCCCTCCAAAAGTGATGATTCCCCACTGAACCCAGGGACACCCCCTTAACAAACTGAGGTTGATGAATATGTCTGGGGGTACCTTCCATTTCCATTCTTTCCAGGGCCGGAAACCCAGGGAAACGGCCGGTTTTTAGGAAGAACGATGGTTGAAAAGAATGAGGAATCAACCCCTAGAGTTTTGGGAACGAACCGGAAGTGGATCCCCTAAAAGCCCACAAGGGATGGTGCATAGGGGTCATCGCCTCACTCTTTGGGAGCCAAAGGGTAGAAAAAGATAACCCTGGTAAAGTCGACATGCCAGGTGGTTCTGGGAAATGAGGGACCCCGTGGCACCGTGGTGGACACCTTGACCCTCAAACTTCCCTTACCAAAGAGCAATACCAAAAGGTTCAACCAAAGAAGGTAGTTTAACTCAAAATGAGGTAATTAATCCAACCAACAATCGAAGTTTGACCCAACAGATTGCTGTTCAATCAAAAGTGTAAGGTTGGAGAGCGAAACAAGCAGCCCAAACCCTGCTGCACCAGGTTCAAGATGAATCCGGTGAGGCATGTTGATCTGGAAAATTGGCCACCTGCCAAAGTCACATCACGCCGGATTGAATTGAATGACGTCGGGGACTTAGCCTCGTGGCCATGGGGGACAACACAGGCATGCCTGCTTCTGGTGCTGATCTTCTAGGGGATACTCCAAAACGGGAAAGTCTGGAAATCGAACCACGGTCAAAATTATTTGTACCCTCAGGGAGACATGGGCTTGGAGTGCGTGCCAACGATGTGTTGTGGTTGCTGTGGTTTCCCGTGCCCCGAACCCCAAAGGAACCATGGAATATTTCCCCTTTTTGGGGTGGCTTTTGAGCGAAACCAACGGGAGCACCCACTATTTTGGTGGCCCCCTACCGTGAACAAAATCCTTCACGCTAATCTTGGACAACCGCCTACTGCACGATCTTGTCCATTCACCGTACTTTGAGAACCCAACTGAGAAATGTTCAACAAACTTCTCACCGTCGCTGCCTTTCCCGCCTCGCCAGCAGCCGATTCTTGGCCACCCCCACCGAGGCCCGGCATCCCGTGCGGGCGAAGATCGCGTCGCGGATCCTGCGTGACATGCCTGAAGTTTGCCCTCTCACAAAAAGAGCAATAGAGGAACTATGTTGCGAAGTGGAATGGTACAACCTACCTTGCTTTTTGTTGCTTTTTCTCCGAGTGGCCACTTGCGATGACGCGGGTCCACAGTTTCGGTCAGTAGATTGAGTAGACTGTCGATGGTACAACCTACCTGGTTTTTATTTGAAGACTGGAATCGCTCAACCTCCGTCTGGCCATGAACGCCCGTGTCCTTTGCCCCGCGCTGCGCAGAGACTCCACATCCTGCCAGTCTTGACGTGGCGCATCCCAAATTGGCAAGCAACGACAAACGCATGGGCTTGTCGCTTCTTTTGGTACCCCGTGTTTTTTAACAGGGAAACCAAAAGGAACCAAGCATGAGGGTTCCCTGATATTGAGACAAACCCGTGTCCAATCCAACCAATGACATCCATGTGACACAACAATGTGTTGACAAATTCCTTATCATGGTTCCCTTTGGAGGAACCCTTACAGTTTAAAGTTCTGAAAGTTCTCCAACATTTTTTGAGCACACATTTTGTCTGCAGGTCGAGTCATGGTTCCTTTTGGAGGAACCCTTACAGTATAAAATATCAAATTTTCCCCACAAACGTTGATCACCTGCGTTACCGTTGGGCAGCACGTGGCCCCTGCGGCTGGGATCGCATGTCCTGGGCCTCACAGAGCTTCGTGGTATCTGCGAAGACCTCGTCACAGGAGATGCCTGCGCGAAACGGCTCCGAACCGCTTGCCCCCGAGAGCACCCGAGAGCTGGCGCATCGAAAGGAAGCTGCAGACGATTCGAGGTTCTCCAGTAGCCAAATAGGGGTTAGGGTCCCATAGAACCTGTCGCTCCCCAGGTTAAACCAAACCAAAACAAACAAACTTTACAGGAATGCTCTTTGCAGGATTGGTTTCACCCCAGCCAACAAGAACAAAGGATCTGTGTCTGTTGTTTCCCTGTTCAGTGAGGTTGGCATAATTTGAAGGCGAAGGAAATGATCCCCAAAATTGTGTGTTGCCCTTTGGATTCCCTTTCAGCCGCCCCGAAACAGTAACAGGACCTCGCCTCTAAAAAGAAGCGGAGACACATTCAATTTGCCCCTTACCCAGACCTCCAGAGATCATGGGGAAAGAAACGCGTGCTCTCTTATTGGAGTTGATTTTGGGAATCGCCACCCAAAAAAACCCGTGGCAGCAGCAACGCCTGCTCACCCTCGGAACCCAACCATCCCACCCACCCGCCCTATGCCTTGGACGTAGGGAGTGCTCTCCAGCACAGTCCGATAGAACTTCTCCGCCACCTGAGGTTCTCTAGGCCGGAGATAAGAATGGGTATGCAGCTTTTTTGAGGGCAGCCTTTTCAGCTTGGGTTAAAGGGAAAAGAGACGGATTCAGTGTCTCCTGAATTGGACACATACCCAAATAGCTTTCTGGCAAAATGACAAATATCCATCCCTTTTCGGTTTTCTCGTGAGAAATTCACATTGTTTGGTGATTTACCTCTAAAGTTTTCCTGAAGGCCGTCAAGGGGTCCAACCAAAAGAAATACATCTCTGTTTTGAACAACTCTGTGAGGTCTGCCAAAAAAACACTAGTGCAGACTTGGGATGTTCCCAACTCAAAGCTCATCGGCCTGTGCCATCCTCCATGGCAACTGATTCCTCTCAGCCTACACCAGAAAATGAGCCCGAGAGTGTTGTGGATACCTGGACCCTTGAGAAAGGGAAAGCGCCCCTCGAAATCTTGGGCAATCTGACGTTGATGGGCCGATGGGGTCCAATCGACAAAAATAAACACGAGCTTGCCTCTCCTGTGCGCCATGATTTGCCAGTTTCCATGTCACAGGGAAGGAGCTTCCCCTTGACGAACCGGCAGCAAAACGACCTCGAGTCTTCTTTGGGAGGTCCGCTATGCTGCGGTAGACCTGCCTCCATGATGGTGGAAAACTCGTAGGGCATGATCACCAAGTCGGGGCATCGCCTACCGAATCCAGGGATCCTTTCCTAGATCAATGGCACTAAACAAACCAGTCCAGGGTCGCGCGTTGGCCCAAAACCAGATTCTTGGTGTACCACTAAACTGCTCCAAACCGCAAACTCAACAATTGGCCAAAGTCCGGAAACTGGGGAAGTGAGAGGGTGCCCCATGGGGCAGTTTCTGAAGGGGCAGAGTGAGTAAGACTCCAGGTCTCTCGAAAAACGAGCTGAGGCCTGTGGAAGCAATATCTGTGTATATGTGCTCCTAAACGCTGCAAACAAGGGGTTAGGCAGAAGACTTTGTGCGCGACAGGCAACATAGTGCAAGTAGATATGTCAGTTATACGTTCGGTCGTGCTTTGATCCGGGTACTCCAACGGCCCAAATAGGTCAAACCGTGTGGGCCACTTGACTCAGCTGGTCAGCCATGTTGCGTGGCATTGGGCAGGTGCCGGCCCCCCAGGCTCCCCAAAACGGACCTGTGCTATCGGTGTTGCGGCAGATTGGGAACGCTATGAACATCAAACGAAGACCTCCAGGTTTGCCAAAGCATATGAGAGTCCAAAGGGCCAAGAGTTCCAATCCAACATTCAAGAGAACGACAATCTCATCTAGATTGTTCAAATACCGGAAACTGCACAGGTGACACGAACTACGTAGTCTGATCGGCACATCTTGTCAGCGAAGCACGCAACGGAGATCCAACCTGACCCACACACATAGCAATTCGAAGCAAATAAATCATTTGCAGCGTGTAAGAGCTCTAGAAAAGGCATAAAAGGGCTTTACTATAACCCATGACCCATCAAACTACTAGAATTGGGCGCTGCTCAAATAGGGCGCGCGTAATTTTCCATGCCTTTTCGTGAAAAGCTGCTTTTCACACAAACGGCACTCGTTTGCATCTCTGAGCACTTCTTACTTAGTTACTCTTCTGGGACAAATCCAAACAGCGACTTTCTCAGACCACTTTCCCCGCCCATGCTTTAACGCACAGCGCCAAAAAGACCCGCCTCAGCGCATCTCCCGCCCACATGCCGGCTCGCACACCTTCCGAGCCAGGTAAGCTGGCACAACAAAAACTGCCTTGCTGGGCAACCTGCTATGACTCAAGCCGTAAATGAGGAACGGTTGCGTTCGTTTGACCCGCGGATCAGTATTCTTGATCTAGGTGAGCCAGGTGAGTCCCAATATATGACAAATTCACCAACGCCACATAGGGCATCACTAAGAAAGGCAGTTTCGTGGGTGAGAGCAAGCTTTGGATGACGTGGCTATTGCCTGCCAAAAAAGCTACCCTGACCCTCAAACTACCCATTCTAAATACATGTTTCCATGAGAAGACAGCCGAGTTTTCTAGGGCAGCTCGAGGGTCCGGGCACTCTGCTTCACAAAGCCAAAAACCCAATTCAGTGGTCCTTCGCAGGACCGAAAAGAAGTCCGGACCGTTCAAGAAGCACCTTCCTGACCTTCCACAAGGACGAATGGAACAAACATTGAATTCCAGGGGTTGAAATCGCCTCACCCAATTCGAGGGGTAGGTTGGCACAACCCATCGCCCGGGTTCTCCGTCGTCGAGCGCCTGCCGCGCGCGCCGCGTAGTTGGCCGAGGAGATCTCTGAGCTGCTGCCCGTGCCCCAGGCTACCGCCACTGGCAGACCTCCCCAGCCAGAGGTGCGGAAGTGGGGCCGGGGGGGCGGTTGAGGTGTTTGGATGGGAGGTAGGGAGGGCGTTTGGGTGTTGGGGATGGAGGGGAAACACGTTGTTTCACAGGCATGATTTGCCTGCGATGCTTTCTCAAAATGCAAAATTGAGCCGTTGGGGGGTTCACGTGCAACGGTCGAACCTCCGCCGTCTGGGGCCTGCTACGAGCCGTTGACATACAACGATGAAACTTACAATATGTGTTGCTTGACAAAAGAGGTTTTATGGTTCCCACAAGTGCGCTATCATCAAACTCCAGGCTTGCCGTCGCATGCGGATTACCTAACTTTGCGCACATCTTGGATAAACAAAAACACCGAAAGTAGGCTCAATCCTGCACTCTACATAAACTGCCTGATGCATATGTTAGTCCTCGCCTGATGTCAAACTGTCAGCACTCTCCAAGCTGCACATTGCATGCCCGCGCCATTCTTTGTTGGGGGCTGAAGATTCCTTGATGGATTCTCAGTGCTCATGGATGGATGAGCCAATTCTGGTTCCAGGCCAACATCCTGTCATACATCAAGGTAAGCACAGAAGCCCAAAAAACAATTAAAGCAAAAGGTTCACCAGTTGGGATCTTGGCTACAACTGGGTGAATTTAGAAGGTCTGGGAGAATTATCAAAAAGAACGACTTACAATCAGAAATCAATAGAAGTAAGCCCTTATCATGGGTCGTATCGCAACCTTTCAGGAGGTCAATGAGCTTGTTGCCCGTTCTGTTGATGACTTGCAAAGCTTTCAACATGGGGCCAAATAAAGCCATGGACCCGCACAGTTGCCTGACCTAGCATATCCCATTTGCCAAGGGCTCGTCCTTGGTGCCGGTACTTGCCAAACGCAAGCTGACAATGTATTGGAGCAGTCAGCAATTCACTTGGTCAGAACAAGTCCAAACTCGCTGTTTGCCACTGAACAGATCTTCCCGAAACATTTGAAAGCTCGCTAACAAGGGAAATGAGGCAACACTTGCCAACTCTGGGCCAAGCTCTGGGTATCTTGTGTTCTCTACTCACATGTCCGACCGGACTCTGGAAGAAGCAGCCATAAAAACAACGGTTCTAGTTTGCCACATGTGCCCACCCAGTCAACATCTGAATCAGAAACGTGAAAGACTGACCTTCCAGGACATATGGCAACTCACGTGCAGTTGTGAACAAGCAATATACGCTGCACGAATTTACCTCAAATGACCTGACGAGTCCTTCAGAGAAAACCCACCTGAACCGCCTGAGCTGGTATGCATGCCACATAGCCATCAAATGCTCAGCATGAGTGCATTTTAAAGTTGGCTCAGGGATCAATTAGCTGGCTTAGGGCGGATTTAAACTGGATCCAGCTCAGGCCCCAAGCAACTTCAGATTCTACCCTTGATGCAAAAACCGAACCCCTCACACAGGACTACTACACATTTCAACGGCCTCTTGATTTTCTGCCAACTTCTAGGGTGGCCCCCCGTCGTTTCAAACATGTTTTCTGCTCAAAAAAACGAACGCAAACAATGGCACTCGCAGTAACGTCTGGCTCTCTGGAAAGGGTCCCTGGGAATTTAGGAAGGCGCTCCCAAAAAGAAACAAAGATTCGGGGGGCGCACCGCTGCACCGCTGTCCCCCACATTCTTCCCTGGAGGCCTAATTAATTTGAATCCAACTTGGGGATCTTTAACAACACATTTAGCCAATCAAGGATAAATCAATTTGAACATGGCATCTAAGCGTCAGCTTACTCCACTGGCCCAGACATGTTGAAGGGTCTTTTCTTGGTTTGCCAACCGTGTTTTCATCCAGCCAACTCATCTGCAGGCCAAGACACCAGCAAAGATGTGCTGCCGGCCCAGCGTTGCAACGCTGGCGAAGAAGCAGTCCATGTCGATGTGCATGAAGACCTGAAATCAGCACGGCCCTCTGAATGGATAGAGAAACCAAGCCATGAAGGCCAAAACTTGGGGGTGCCAGTCACAAAGAAAATTGTTGCCTTAAGAAAAAACAAGATGACCTTTTTGGGTTGCCGCCTTTTGGTGTGACTTTTAAGTTGATCCCCTCTTTGGGTTAAAGTAAGACACCGAAAACGAGAAAACAGGAGCCGCTCGGCCCACCGTCCTGCCCAAACAGTCGCCTGCCAGCCCTCTCGGGGAAGCCAAATGGATATCCACACCGTTTGAAGGTAACTGGGGGGATACCCACTGTTGCGATTTTCTCAACACTCAAAGTGAAACCAACACCACCGATTCTATTAAAATATATTAAATGTGGTTTTAAGAATCGAGGGGAAACTGATACATGATTCCGATAGGCACCAGTCTGTTTCGCGCAACGCAAGCGATATCCCCGAATGAGGAAGCAAATGCTGAGTCAGCTCGCTTGCGGTTTCACGGCCGCATTCAGCGCAAGTTGGTACCATGTACCGGCGACAGCCTGCACTTGGTAGGCGAGGCCGGGTCAATGGCAAGCAATCAAGGGAACGTGGGACCGCGAAGCCCCGGCCATATGGCAATACACGCTCGTGCCTCCTGAAAGAGTAGCCTCACAACGAACACATGTACTAGGGTCAGGCCCCAGCAAATCAGTAGCCAGAACATTGGAAGCACTGATCATGCAATCGGACTACAGACAACGAATATCACCCGTACTCCGGCAAATTTGGCATAAAGGTTAACTCATCAGAGTCTTCCTCATGTTGCAAGAATACACTTCTATCGCGAATGGACGTATGAATGAAGGATACACCGTGCTCACAGAAGCAAAAAAAAACACAAACCAATCTCTGCCGTACCCTTCACGATGTGCGCACTCTTTCCGCCCCTGCTGGCACCCTTCCTTCCCATTCATTTTCCTTTGCCATTACCTTTGTCAGGTCTTTGCTACCCTTGGACCCACCTTCTCCAGCACTCGTTCGCCGAGTTGCCAAAGGTCGTAGTACCCTTAGGGGAACCTCTTTGCAAGCTTGGCACCAGCCGCCTTGTCAACTGGGCTTTTAATTCCCTTCTAATTGATAAGGCCGAATTGTAAGCCATGTCAAACCTCAAACACATGCCTTTGAACACTTGCGTGTGTGTGCGTGTGTGTGTGTGTGGGTGACATTGAAACTGACACATTTGCGCATGTGCTCAAGTTGTGGGTGTGGGGGAACGCACGGTCAAAACGACCGTTTGACAATGGGCCGGGGGTGGGTAGATGATAGGTAACTAGTTGCTTGATGCCATGGGTTCGTATTCCTTCGAATTGCATTACATTTGCATCGTTGCAAAAGGAACACGCGTGGGGACTCGATATACAAGCCGGTCTGGAAGTCAACAAGCTAGCTTGGACACAGACCCTTTGTGGCCCCTTTGCGCTCTACCCTCTGAAGTTTTGCTGGTGCCCAGTCCATTGCTGGAAGACGGTCAGGTTTTTCATGCGAAGCGAGCTTGCAAGGACATTTCGTGGGAATAACAACTCAATACGCAAAAGAATCGCAACCATAGCAAAATGGCTGGGCATCATAACTGAGATCTCTTGAGCATGGGCGAGGTTGGAAACGCAGCGAGCCGCTAGGTGCTTCAATTTGCAGCGGTCTCAAGTATGTTTTGCAGGAGCAGCTACAGGAATGTTGCACAAGCGAGCAGGGCCGGTTTTGAGGCACACTGCGTGACTTGAAGAGGACATAGTTTACATGTTCATGCCAAGGGGCGGGCAGAACTCAGCACCAACCCTTTTGCCGTCGTTCGTGGTTGCCGTTGCGCTCTGCCATTTCTGCTTAATCTTAGTGGAGCAGAGATCGCAATGCAAACAGGGTGCGCGAATACAAGGCTGCGCTCGCACAGCGCACCGTACTAAAAAGAAGCTCTTGAAGCGTGACCCGCTGACGGTTGGCTTGAGGCCTTTACCTGCGCAGGCAACGCAAGTGCAATTGATCGGGTCATCATTGGCAACGTCCTGGAAGGGTACATGGAAAACTTTGTTTATTCGTATGCCTGCGCTTCGACGTGGCTTGACAAATCACGACTGGCTCGCGGACGAGCGCGCGTTGAGTCTGGAAAGCGAGGGCTTACGGAACCTCCCCATTCCGAATGCAGGCGGTTGGAGCAAGTTGCCGCTGAACGCATCTGAGGTGGTCAGAGCCTCAGGAGGATCTGTGCGCCGAAAGGTTTTGCCTCTTTCACACACTCAGTGCGAGTTGGTACCATGCACCGGCGACCGGTAGGCGAGACGTATTGGCCCCAAGTGTAAACATGTTCAATCATGCTGTATGTTGCAGCCCTCTTCACAGTTGTTTGGGGGGTTCCCTTGTCTCCAGTTCGCCAGTAACCCAACAACATCCGCTCGAGCCCTTCCTGTCGGGACGCCTCCGGCGGTTTGGTCTGCTTGGGCGCCGGCGGCAGACTGTCCAGAATCTCCTCCAGACTTTCTATGGTATCGGGGTGTCTATGGGCAAACCAAAAGGAAACACACCGTGTTCGGGGGTGTACCCACTGTGTTCTGAGAGCCATGGGGCTCTCTGGTCTTGGCTCTGCTACCGTCTTTCCAATAATGGAATTGGATAGGAAACATAGCAAATTACAGAAAAGGAACAACACTCATTTCATTTTTTTCGAGATCTCGGATCAATGCTCAACCGCCCCCCCCCGGAACTGTAGCAATGGCATAGAAGACTGTTTGGTTTAGTTCAAACCCTGTGCAACAAAGAACTAGAAAGAAAACAGCCGCCCTTGGGGGTCTTGGCTAAACAAAAAGATCAAAACCTGAAATAGGAATTGTACACACAAGCAAAGGACCATTCATGGTGAGCCCCAATTGGCAAGCCCGCTATGAACGAAGCAGCAAAAGTGGAACTGAAGGGAACCCTGAACAGCTACAAGGACGTTTTGGGCAACAGAAACAGACACTGGGACTTGGGCCCGTTTTCCAAGACAATAGCGTGGTTGAGCCCCATCCGTACCGCAGGTTGCTTTAAAGAATACTTCGCTACGATCAACCTTGTCACTTTCCAAGGGACAGTACTGAAGGCCAAGCTCTCACGACAACGGATAAGTGAAACCCAATGTGACGCAACCATGCTCCTTGATTCCCTTTGTCACTGAGGGGACTTCCCTATGACTGCTTCATATATATATATATAGGCCGTGCAGGACATAGAGTCCTCTCAGGTCTGACACAACATATCCATACATATCCACCGGCAAACAATGGGGCCCTGCCTAACGGAGATGGGGAAGGGCTGCAGCCCTTCCATACGCTCAGGTGGAAATCAGAATTGCCAAGCCTCATGGAGCAGAACAACGGACGCTGTGTCCAACCCCAAGCCCGTTGTTTGCTCTGCCGCAGCGGGAAAGAAAAAAAAAACGACCGGCTGCAAAAAACAAATCCATGTCTCCTCATAGCGCTCCCGCCACACGCCAATGAAGTGCAGCCGGCTCGCCTCTGATTGAGAGGGGTCCGACTCACGCAGCTCCCGGCTCCCACTGACAACATGTTGGCTTCTTTGCTCTTCACACGGAAAACAAGAACGAACGCCAACATATCTTGGGGTTTCCACTGTTCTGACACACACAGATACACACGCATCTTTGTGGGAAAGCTAGGGTTCCGCCGCCCTGTCACTTCTTTGAAAGTGAGTGAGTTGCCACAATGGCAGTAGAGGAAATAGCAGTAACAGCAACAGGTGACCGCAACAGGTAGCTTACCAGCAATCCAGCCCCAAGAATGCCCAGGATACTAACCTACTACCTGCCCCTTCCTCCGCAGTTTCCAGGATAGTTCTTAACACATTGACTGCCCTCCCTTTCTGTGATCTCAACTACTTTGTGGTTGATCCTGAAAGACACCTGCTTTTGAACATTGAATGAGCGGGTCCTCATGAAGAAAAAAGGGGAAACGCGGCGGCTAAAACGAAAGTGGGGATTTCCGCTTCAACTGAAGGCCTGGACGTTTCCTGAATATCAATCTGGGCTTGTCCCCGGAAAGATGGTCGGTGTCCCTTTGGTTTCATGCTGAAGCAACCACGAAAAAGGTACCCTTTACCCAAAATGGGGGGGGTATCTTCAACAGGGTGGTTTGAACCACGAAGTTGGATTCGGCATGTTGTATCTCTCCGGTTAAACCCACACAAAATTGGGTACCGTCCGAAAGGACACGGCCAGAGGTGGGCGTGCGTGCGTGGGTGCGTGTGTGTGTGTGTTGTATAGGATACCCTTTTGGTGTGGGTTCAAAAGAAAACCGAAAGAAACCACCCACTTTGGGAATTTCATATTTCGACGCAAAGCCCATTTAGATGTGTCAGATAAATTGAAAGCCTGTTTTCACGTTTGGTTGCTCCAGGGAAACAAAGACCAAGTTCACCGATGTGGAGGAATCCACAACTTGAAGGAGTATATTCTTGGCCAGTGCTGTGGGGGATGTTCCTTGGGCTGATACTTCTATGTGCTCGTCTTCAACGCAAGCCCCTGTCGCAAGAGCTTGTCTCTTCTGACCGTTGCCTCAACAACTTCCCAACTATTGCAAACAGTGTCTCTTGTAAGCTCGACACCCTGAGGGCTTACATGTTGCCGAAATGTTTCCTGGCAAAACTTCAAGGCTCCTGAACACTTTCCTGACATCTGCACTACTTAGTATGTTTCACCAACCATGAAGGAATCCCCAAGCGAGAGACTTTCATGATGGCTAACGACTAGTGAACATCATAGTGCCCCTCAATGAACTAGTTGGGTTCCACTGGTTCCACCATCCTGGTCTACATTGTCCAGTCCCAGCCCGTTTCCCCCAACGGACGGCGCAACTCCCCGACCTTGAAGAAGGTCTGAACCTAGCGCACAGTGAGCCAACGACCGGGAATGGCGCAGACAGGGAATGGCGCAGGGGTTTGGCTCTCAGGTGTCACGGCTTGAAGGGAGTCCCGGCACATCCGTGGGCGCAACCTAAAGGTGACGATCTATGTCATGAAACACATTCGCATTGTCAAGTCTGTTGAGTGCCTACTATCAAGCAGAATCATGCCAAAGAGCGGCCAAACTGCCCCTCAGAACCAGCAGCCACGATTTCCTTTGCATGGATGAGTTGAAAACCATGAATCCCAGCAACATGAGGACGGTGAGATCTCTAAGTCCATCAAAAACCCCGAATTGACTGTGATCACACAGGTGTAGATAGGTCTTACCACCTTGATGACCCGGGTAGAAAGACTGCTGACATTGCCTGTTGGGTAAAACTGAGTTTGGTCCGTAATGCTGAGATGATAAGGAATAGTGGTACCCCAACGCTCCATTTTTGGGGGGGTCCTCAAACATATTGTTTTGTTTATCAACCTTTGTTGGGGTTCTCCATTGAACGGGTGTTGGCTTTGGATGGAACGCACCACAGGGTCCACCCTTTGCAGGAAAACAGGCGACCGCGTTCAAGCAAACCGACCTGAACCGGACACCTATCTAAACACAGTCCCCAAGAAAAGGCGTCACCATGAACTCGTTGACCCCCGCTTCAACGGACTCGCTCCCCATGGGCCCGAAACGTCCCCCAACTGTGCCAGGGGGCGAAGTCGGGGTTTTCCTTGACCGTGCGAGCGCCGGAGCCCAGCAAAGGCTCCTCATGCAAGATCTGCAAATCGCGGCCGAATGGAGTGGCCAAAAACAAGGCGCAAGTCTGAACCTTTGGTCTTCCAATAAACTGCTCTTCCCAAACAGTACAGTTCAGAGACTCATGGGGTGAGACTCCAGATGCCCTTTTGGGTGGGTATCAACATTTCTAATCCCCTCTGGAGCAGAGCCATCCGCACAGCGCTGAGTGTCGGCAGCTGTAAACAAAAGAAAAAGGTCCAATACGTGGTCGCGTCAAAGTTGAATACCCGCCGCAGTCACCCAATTTTCATGAGACCACGTGTTGTCCACGATGCGAAGTCGGTGCCCAAAACAGCGGAACCGGATGCGGTCTTAGGGCCTGCGGGCGTCTGAAAAGGACTGGAAAGAAGCGCAGGGCAGAACCCCAACGGAGAAGCGATATCACGAATGGATCAATTATATACCAGCGAATCGTGGATGTTGTTTGAAGCGGTTGTTTGAAGAGCGGGCAACTACGTGCTGCTGACCCCTGGTCTACACTGTAGCTGCGGCCAAGTGCAACGCACAAACCCTCACAAGGAAATTAGTTTGAGCGATAGAAGCACCATACCAATACGGCTTATCCCCCACCTGGTCCCTCCTTTAGAGCAGCGTCTCTTGAGGTGATCCCCCACTACGATCCCGCAGAGGACCCTGTTCAGCAGCCGGCGTAGTCCTTGAGATCGCTGACCGCACCGCGCCTCGAGGATGTCTTTGGACCCAGAATTCCTTATCTGGCACCGGCACCGCAGTCCCATCGCCGCCGCCGGCAGCCATGCAGAGGAATCGGGGCGGAAGCATTCGGCCCAGCCCCAAACACCCTGCTCCACCAATCTGGGAGCGAGCTCAACCCCCCCCCCCCAACAAAACGCAGCCACCCCAAAAAAGCGGGGGCGACTTGCAAAGCAAAGCATCGGGCCGCTGCGTGGGCCTTTTGCCTGCAAAACAGCTCACACAAACCCAAAAAAAACAGGCCCAAAAACCACAAACCCGAATAGAAACCACACAAACCATGAAAAAAATGAAAAAACACGCCATTAAAACAAACCATGCAAACAAACCATAAGACCCACACAAACCATAAAACCCACACAAACCATAAACACCCCACACAACCAGAACCGCACAACCCCAAAACCCCAAATAGCCTCCCTGCAGCTCCTTGGCGCGCAGCTCTTCCGCCAGCTTCCGCGCGCTCTGCAGGCGATCCTTGGCAGGGCTCGGGGATTAAAATGGGAGTCATGGGGAATTTTGCGGATGGGTAAAACCTGCTCAAAACTGCTTTGATGGGTCAATTGGGTGTTTCCCTCTGTCCCTTCGGAAGTGGCTGTGGGTCAAAGCGTACGCCTGGTGAACATCAAAGTAGGTGGCAAATGGGGGTTCGTCCACCCCAAAATGGCGGCAAAGGTTATGACCCATGGCCACATCCATTTGGCTCAAAGCGAGAAACAAAGCCAAAATACTAGCTGATAACCACCAATCCCAACTGGTGCGTTTCGTGGGTTTTGTCCATCAGCTGTCCATCGATAGCAGTGAACCATGGGAAAGGGAGCCTTTGGGAACCACGGGGAACCAGAAGGATTCGCAGGGAAGCTGCTTAATCCACATCATGCCGTTGTTTCATTCTTGTTTTATATATTCTCACTTTCTGCATGGACGGCAAAAAAACGTCCGCACTGTGTTGCTTGCCACCAAAATGGGCTTGTTTACAGTCCAGGTTCTCGGGGAGTGAGCATTGCCAACAAAACTATGGGAAACAGTTGGGCATGCTCAGCTCCAATGGGGATTCCATCATGGCTCCTTGTCTTCCCCAAGAATCTACGGCCATGCAGCCGTTCCAATTGTGGGGTCCGCTCGTGTGTTTCATTCATTGCCACAGAGAAGCGGGCTTTCCCGGGTCAACTCCCTGGAGGTTGAATCCTGGGAACTGAAGATGAACGGCGGAAAAGCGCCACGCTCATGTCGGCAAAGGTGTTGGGCTTCAGCTTGAAAGGCCTCTGAAGATTCGGGACACCGACATATTGAAACCTTGGCTGCGACTGGATCAAAGTCAAGTTTGGGCTAACTAAAACGGTCTGCTACAACGCAAGCAGCACAGGGATAGCAAGGCTGCAAAGCGCAGTTTCAGCTTGGTTGGGACCATCACCACCCACACTACCGGCTCGTATTGACCCTCGCCATGCCTAGGGTCCTAATTTCAGCACTGCCGGATTCCTCAAAGGAAACTCTAAACTGGGCTGCCATCATCCCCGTAAAAGCTGAACTTTTAGTAGGTTCAATAGAAACCTTACAAAGCTAAAAAGCTAAGGGGATGGCTAGGAGACACAAAGAAAATTCAGCCGGACGTGATGTTTCACCGGCCACGTAGAGACCCACTGCCCGATGGCCCAAGTGGCGCTGTACGGCGCCAGAGCCTCCGGCGCCAGGCTAACCTGCGCCTGAGCGGATCAATTGAATATTTTTGGTTGGCGTCCTGAGCCAAGGGAAGCCCATATGGCCATGAATTTTAACTGGGAACCACCTCAAAAGTGATTGGTGGACATGAATCTCCGCTAAACTTTGTCCACAAAAGGGTCCCTTACTAAAAGTCATGCCCATATTTAGACCCTAGCTTATATGCTTTTTTTTCTGGGAGGCAGATACGTTGGACATGACTTCTCGCGACTTCCTTCGCCTGCCTCACGACTCTGCGGAAGGTTCTCGGCCTCGAGCCTCGGCGCGGCTTTCAAAAAGAAGGGCTCGATTGAGCGCGCCCAACGCCCATGTTGCCATTGGCTCAACACAGTGAAAACTCTGAAAAAAGGTTTATGTAGGCCTTGACCAGGAGGTGGAACCGGCTGATCTACTAAAACTATTTAGTCGACCAATATGTTTGGGGCAGAGACTGCTCGACCTTATTTCACACTTTTAAACAAGCACCACAACACAGAGGAAGACAACTAACAAACAGCAAGCCACAAAGTAGCCTTCATAGTCAACCTTTAACCCAGTTGTCCAGTGACCGGGCAAGGCAAACCTTGTTTGGGGTTGACTAATTTCAATTGGGAAATCCACAAAATGAGAGCCTCTGAACAACTGAAAGACAACGCTTGGCAAACCGGTTGTCAAATCCTGGGAGCCTCCAATTGCCAGCGTATGATTGAACCTGCAGGACGGTCTGGTCCCCTGAAAGAAAAAAACACTTAGGCTCGGGACCGTAGTTGCTTTGTGGATGATACTTCTCTGAACTTGTGGTGGCCGATGTTCTCTTTCTGGATGTTTAACCAAATCATTTCTAAACCCCCAGATGAATCGGTGGACTCATGCTCCGTTCCGCTGGAATCTGCCAAGTTCGACTTAGATCCGCCGACAGTGAAACTAAAATATGCCCTCTTTTCAGACCGGCAAGGCTAAGGGGCCCATAGCTTTGACACATCTGTGTGCTTCTGCACATGTATGCACATGTGTCGACTTGGTGAGTCACAACCATGCAACAGCTCAAAATAAGAGCGCTCTTGAAAAGAAGCCTGCATCAGGGAGGTCGGTATCGACCCGAATCGACCCAAGACATGCATGTGTGAGGTCATTATGTGCTTGCTCAAATCAATGGCTTCCGAGCAAATACGATGTTGCCTACATCGGAGAGCTCGCCGTGATTACGGCAGACGTACCCTGCAAATCAATCCATGCGGTGTTGTTGCTTTTTTATGTCAAGTAAATAAGGCATCTCCAAGGCCCAACGGTTGGAATGCTCCTTCACCCTCAGGTTCCCTCAGCCCGCGGCGGGTCCGTGTCTTCCTGAGACGCGGGCGACACTCCATATCCTGTTCCCCATGGCCAGGACCAAACAAGACTTGATGCCAAGCTAGTGGTCTTTGCCAGGCAAAGAACAAGAGTGTTTCCAATAGCTTGACGTCAACCTTGGCAAAGAGTGAAATAGCTTTCCATCAAGAAAAATAGTGCACTACCCTGTTTAAAACCATCATGGAAGTGGACAGCGGGCTGTTTTGTTTTCGGAGAAGTCGCCCACATTTTCTCATGAGGCGCACAGCACTCCTGAAGCATCCATTCTTCATGGGTCTGGGTTAGCTGAAACAAGAATCCCTCCAGATAGCGGAGGCTACATATTCATGAGACTTGAAGATGCCCAATCTTCCCAGGTGACTACAGAACAGATGCTAACCGGAGAGGGTGCAACACACCTGAAGCCGGACCTCCATGCCGACCGACACAGCCAACCAGCCGCGATAAATGGTTGGTCGGCCTTGGTCAACTAAGAACCCCAGATATTTGACAACAACACACAAAACAATGAACAATGAACGAAAGCCCGCAGTTGCCAAGAGACTTTTGATAGAGCATTGGAATCCTTTATGGAGTTGACTACTTGATGGGTCCGGACCCCACCACACAAAAGGGATTTAGAGGGTGTCGCTGAACAATTGGATTGTCTCACTTCTTGAGTGGATGGGCCAACAAGGGGTCCGAACTTTTTCTGTGCCCCTAAAGTTGTCTACACCCCGAAAGTGGGCATTTCAGTTGTCCCCTAGCAAGTCGACCCCAAATCCATGGGGTGTATCCAAAGGGTGGGATGACGGTTTCCGTACATTTCCCCTTGAAGGAATCACACCGGCCAAGAAAAACTCGGCTATGGGTCACAAAGCTGTGGTTGCAACCAACCAGGGACATATAGCCCCGGGTTTGGAGTTTTGCTCAAGTCAGGCTGGAACCAAACATAGACAAGCGTCCACAGTGCTCGCGATGCTGTCATCATCGTCCACCTCAGTCACCCATGAACGGGGCTCATGCTCTTCCTTTTAGCCTCGTCTTTTTTGGAAAATGGCAGCCTGCTGAGCAAAAGAAAGATTCTATGGAACCAGCAACAATCAGCCACACAATGGGATATTACCCCCCCCCCAAAATGTGCGCTTTCCAACTTGTTCGGGCAGTTGGAGGCATTTGAAGGGATCCCCCTTTTTCGTTACGCACAAAGAGATGCCCCCTTCGTGTACAAAGCCTCTCATGTCTGGGACGAACCAGTCGCGAGAACTTTGCGAGGTGTCAACATGTCTTGGAGACCTGCGCACAACTGCGGATTGTCCAACCACCAACCTGTTCATATGATGAACCCCCCTGCTTTCACATTTTGGCGTACGGATGGAGGCCGGAGGAGACAACCAAAATAGGGGCACCTGAACCAACAAAAACAACATCACAACGGTCAATCTATGTGCTCGGCCGCCAAATGAAAAATGACAAATGCCAGTCATGATTGCTTGTCGTTTTCGACGCAACTCTAACTGTTCGCTAGTTGGTGTGGATAGTGTCCTTTTCCAAAGGGTTTACAGGTCAGTTTGGTCAAAACAAAAAAGCCAAGTTGAAGCAAATCCCTCAAATAGTCCACGCCCATTCCTTCCAAAAGAAGTCTGTCTCGAAGCAAACATGCAACCTGACATGCAACAAACCCGCACCGCATACCTAAATCCAACTGCCTACATCAAGGAAATGCTAGCGGCCAAATAGAAAATCCGCAAGAAGGAAGCAAACTCACTTCCATCCCAGTTCCTTGTTGACTTGGGAAGGCTTGATAACTACCGAATATCTAGGACACAGAATCCGCTCATGTTATCCCCTCATTCTCATAACTTCTTTGCAACAATGATGGTCGTGGACTGCTTCACCCCCCTCTCAGCTTCTCTGATTGTTGGGAGGGACACGAGGCGGGGAGGTTATGCAGCCCAACAGAGACTTCCTTTGCTTTGTTGGATCGGCCTCCTTTTGGAACAAACTCCCAACCCAGAGTGAACATCTGCTTGGCATTCTCCTTTCCTCTTTACTCTGCATGCTTCTTGGACGCAGAGATACCACGACCGCCCGGAGAACCATTCTGCGGCCCTTTGGGAAGACGCCTTGAAAAGGGACGCCCGTGCGCCACTGCTGAGGGAATGAACACCTCACATGGCTGTTGGGGGGAGGGTGCTCCCTGAGTCCGATGTTGGGAAATCAAGCATTTCAACTATGGGGCCTGGGTATTTTCTTTGGGAAATCAGCCGTATTTGTTGGCCTAAGGCACTCAGCTGAAAAAATCGAACTCCGCCCTAGGCCCACACTCAGCCACAGATCGCTGAGTAAACCTTGCAGAGTATATCACTCTGCATGGAGGGGTCCTTCACAGGTTTGTCTCAACATACTGTGGATGGACGAAACCTTGTACCAATTGTTTGGTGGTTCAGTGCGGCAGCCTAACTGGTGGATGTCGTCAATCAGTACGTAGGCGGCTGCGTTTTTCACAAGGGCTGCCCCGGCCTCGGACACATCCCCCAAGTTTCAAACACACCTGCGTATCGGTGAAGCCTTCGTGAATTTCACGGAAAGGAAAACCGAAAGGATTCCATGCTTGAGAAACATGTTCCAAAGTTCCCAAGTCCTTGGGAAGCTGTCATCAAAACACTTTTGGTTGTCCTTGTATGGATCGAGCTTGGAGCGTCAGGAATCGTCTTGCTTCAGGGCCAATCGTTGCAATAAGTTGCCTTGCATAAAAGCCGGCTATTCCGCCAAGAGAACACCATTGTGGTTTTCAGAGCACTCAGCGGATCAACATGGAACCTGATTATGTCCATTGTATTTTGGAAGATGTCTTTGGGGAAAGAACCCCTCCCTTCCTGCCTGGTCTGGCAACAAGTCTAAGCTTTACCACAACAAATTGTCCAACCCGACAAAAGTCCATGAACAAACCCGACCTTTTGGGGTGGCTTCTGTCAGATTCATGGATAGATTGCGAAGTAGTCTCAAATGGGCCCGCCCTGCCGCCTGCCCCGCGTAAAAAGTTCGCCAGGCCCCCAGCACTGAAAACAGGCGCGCGAATCGAAGCCATGCATGACGTCAGCAAATCCAAGTGAGCAGTGCCCGAAGTCCATTGACTGTTGGTTCTACTAACATGGTTACAAAGGTTTACATAAAAGGTTACAACCAACCTGAGACTAGGCAGTAGAATCACCTATAAGATTGGCCAATAGAGGTGTTTGGCTGCTCAAGCCCTACTGGGACCAGCGTGGCATAAATACCCTCTCCGATGTGCAACCCAACCGAGGTCTTCTGGTGGGCTCCATGTTGGAGGGTACCCACAAAATTGCTGAGATCCCAAAAACCAGAGATTCCGCTCAAAACAATGCACTTTCACCACCCTGACCCGTAGATTGCTCTGAGCCTGGCAACATAGATTCAAATAACGGGGCTCCATTGAAGTTGGGGCATCTTTACATCTGGGTGTCAGAAAGCAGCTGCAATTACAACATCGCTGCTATCCGCAAAAACAAAAAAACATTATTTGCTGGTAGGTTCCACTTCGGCACCACAAACTAGACTCCACAATCAAACATACAGAGTTCTTATCGCTGCGAAGAGGTAGCACACGTCACATGTCCGAAAACTGCGCAAACCTTTGCAAATTGCAACTCATTTTAGGGGTCTTCCCTTCAAAAGATCATGGGGCCATGACACTTTTTCGCCCCGATTTGGCCTTGCTTGAGCCACAGTGTCTGCGCATACAGTGTCAGCAAGCACCACGTTCTGTCGACTTTGTTTCTCCAAATGATATGAGAATGCGGGAAATCTCCATCCATGTTTGCGGGCGAGTCTGAAGATCCCCCCATGTCCTCCAAAATCAACTGAGTAGCGAACGGTCTAACCCCCACAACTCCCTTCAGGGCCTCTGAACGATCTGGGTTGGCTGTCATTTGAGGCTCTTGCTTGTGGGCAGGTCTTCGGAAACCCAAGATGCGGTTCAAGAGGACCAAGTTCCCAGTGGCAAAGTGGCTCAGTAGGGCATTCCCAAACGAGATTGGAGTTGTAGAACGAGGCTGTGGCTTGCCCAAAGAAGATTCGGACATGTGATGCACTGGATTAGCACTTTCCGGACCTCAACCGGAAGGGCAACCCGACGGACAATGTTCATGCGAATGTCAAGCAAGATTACCCAACAAAGACGGCATGGGCCTCCAATCAAAATGTAGGGGGGCTATTTCAGGGGAAGGCCAAGCCACGGACAAGCTCATAAGGCCTCAAGGGGATAGGTGATAGCCCCCCTCCATCCGCGTGAGCTGCCCAAACTCCCTGACTCTGATGGGCACTGCAGCTGCGGCAAGCCAGCTATGGTGGAGTGAAAGCCGATGCCCTGACCGCACCATGACTCCTTCGCCCTATTTAGCACTTCCTAGGGTGGGTGGAAAGGAAATTCAAGAGGGAAAGACTTTGCTAATTTCCCTTTGTTGGGTTTCATTAAAGAAAATTACTACACCTCACACACCAAACAAATGCAACCAACGGAATTCACAATACAACGGAATTCACAAGTCAACGATCCTCATCATTTGCGAGCTCAGTGCCAACCCTTAATGTGCTTCATGGTGCGCAAATCTCGAACTCGGACGACCAAACCGGCTCGATTGAAGCAACATGACTCACGCGCCAAAGTGCATCGGTTTGTGGGGGACATTGATGCGAACATCGGATTGACAAATGCCGTATGGCCCCGTATGGCGCGTTTTCGGGGTCCGATACTAAACCATCTTGCCCCCGGGTTTATCATCTTTTAACCGCACTGTTTTTGGTAGAGACATGCAGCAGTTGGGACTGGGGAAGGCAAGGTCCCTTGAGGATGACTTGCCAGTGAAAGCCCGAATCTGTTTCTCAGGTGATGTCTCTTCTTTCGAGTACCGTAGCACAGGGAACGGCATTGGGCACACTTACCACATGACCGCTGGAAGCTGTGAGTTACGCACCAAACTCCCTGTCAGCTGCCGGATGCGCAGCTTCCACGATTTCGCTGAGATGCGTCCGTGGGAACTGAAGGACACTGCAGGCGGATCCTGTGATCCCTGCTGCTGCTGCGGCGGCTGAGTTGCCGCCGCTGGTCCCGGTGTCACCTGCTGCGGATCGTCCTCCGACGATGAATCATGCTGCTGCTGCTGAGGCGGAGGCATCCATGGCATCATTCGATCATTGTCATCTGATGATGCGCACTATCAACTCCGAACCCCAGATGAGACTGGGCACACGGCACAAAGTCACACCGACGAGCCATGTGCAGCAAACTTCAGATGTTTGCGGGTTCCGGGTGAGAAGGTGGTCTGCGGGAAAAGGTAGTTGTAGGTGCGTTGAGGACGCACCCGGAAATTTGATAGTCTCAATTGGGCTGGAATTGAAACGCAAGCCTTTTTTGTGCGAAGAAAGAAAACGACAACAACATGTTCTGCCGAACATGCCGTACCAAAGTAGAAGCGGTCACGGAGGCCCTCCAACATCAAAAACGCAGCCCTAATAAACTCCTTATGCCTCCCTTGCTCTGGCTGTGAGTCGGCATTGGCCTTAGGGGCCATGTCTGGTATGGCTTTCAAGGGAAATAAGGAGGGGATGTACCGCGACCCATCTCCCAACAGCAAAGCAATATGCAAATCATCTCGCACTCCCATACCATATCGGCTTCAGGCATGGCGTCACAAATGCGGTTGGGCGCTTCTCAAAATTATGAACCCCTTTGTAGTTGGAATTTATACGGAAACCACAAGGAACCAACAGTTTTGGGGGACCCTAATTTTGAGAAACACCCATTTGAACTTGCCCTCAACTGCTACCAACGGTTTTAACATGGTCTGCCATAGAAGCCCAGGAATCGAAATGCCCTCCCCCAATCAACCAATTGCGTTTCTCAAAATAAGGGCACGCCCCAATATGGTTGGCTTGGTTTCCGTTTGGCTTTCCGGCCGAAACCCAAAATCGCGTACCCTCAAGAAGGCAACCCTCAAAATAACAGACACCCCTGAAAATCACCACATCATATCAGAAGCCCTGTGGCCGTTGAGGCAAAAGGGCATCTTGGTTTGTTCGGCAGTTTTTACAGGAAACAACTCCAAAAATGAGAGCTATCCCGGCAACGGACTTCAAATAGTAGTATTGCTCGTGCTCGAACAACGAAAGTTCACTTTGCAAACGCAGCCAAAACTTACAGCGATCTTCTAAAACCACAGCAACTGCGCTTCCACCAGCACAAAGTTCGCAAATGGTTCGCTTTCGTCTTTCAACACTTGCGCAGCCAAAGCGATTCGGCTGAGTTTTGTCCTGCAAGATTTGCCGATTCATGAAACGCTGCGCTCCTGTTTCTCAAACTGCTGCGCCACCTATCTCGTCGGCATCGAACATGCTGCGTCTGCCGTGCAAACTTACACAGAATGCTGTGCCGAAAAATCGTCACGGCGATTTCAACTGCCACTGATATAGAGCCTGACAGCCCGAATGCTATGCCCTTGTCCGACAAGTCCAGCCCACAGCGAGTTCTTCGCGGAAGGCCTCGCAATCAACAATTTTGTTGCGCTCTGTATTAGGAAAAAAAAAAACAACACGTCTGGCCGCCCGCTGCTTCTCGAAAAACATAGCTGCAACTTCCCCGCTTCGTAACCCAGCCATCAAACATGCAATTTCATCCGTGTAATTAAAACACGAAAAAATGACACGGCATCACAACGAGAGAGGAGTGAGACTGTTTCATTGAAACCAATTTTTTGCGGTAACTGCCCCCATTCACACGCGTTAATCTAAACCAGCCCTAACTCTTACCTGCAACCCCCCCCCCGGTGCTGCAAACTGCAAACATTCTGCGGAACCCTCGAAAAGGGACCGTTGCCCACATGAACCAACCGAGCGAATAACAAAAATACTGGGGCCGGGCAGGGGCCTCATAGAACTTCTCCACCGACGCTGCCAGCATGGGCTGATCCACCTCTGAATGCCGATCTCCCCCTAGTCTTTCAAGGGCTGCGGCACAAAAATAAGCAATCCACACCATAAAAAACTGGGTGTCCCGCAGAAAAGCTGCTTTTTGGTATGTATTATATATATATATATATATGTAAATATTATAGATATACAGAATATGAATGGTTTTGGTTGTGAACGCCCCCCAAAAGCCAGAAGGGGCGAACATCTTGCAGGGCCCTTCGGCCATTTGGGTCAACCGTGTGACCCTTGGGTTGCATTAGCCCGGACTAGGAGAACTCTTTGTCGGTTCACTTTGAAGGGAAACCCGCTCCAAAAAGGAAGGCGGAAAAGGGCACTGAGGCGAATATCTCTGTGCTCCGGTGGCTTCCCTTTGGACGATTCCATCGCAAGACTCATACCTGCACCCTCAACTACCCATCAACAAAGGGAAATCGCCCTTGCGCCCTCTCTGACCAGAGCATCAAGGAAGAACGTGGTATGTCATGCAAAGGAAACACAACAGCCAGCAGTGTTCCCCTCCTACAAGTGGTTGGATCACGTCTGTTGCTGGATCCACCTAGAGTGGTGCAGTCGCCCGAATCACATCGCTGAGGGACTTATGGGAAATTCTGGATGGGGACACCTTTAAACAACGAGCCCCTGCATGGTGACCAAAGCCACAGGTCTGTCTCCAAATGGCTGTGGGTCAGAAAAGGGTACCAAAATGGGTTGCCCTGGTAAATGGAACCAAGGACTAAAACCTGTGGTCCCCTGGTGGTTTAATTTTGACCCACACCCAAATAGGAAGAACACCCACAATGTTGGCTTCCGTTTGGCTTCCCTTTCAAACAACCAAGAGCACCTCAGCAAGGACACGCCCATGTACACTTGGTGCTGTAAAATGGTGCACGAGTTCTTGTCTGTCAAACTTCAGCATGCATGGTGCGCTTAGCAGTTCGGCCTTACGGCAAAGTATGATGTGCTTACAGCTTCAACCCACTATTGTCAGCTGGCTTGTCATCCACGATCATGTGCAGTGCTGGCGGTTCCTGTGTTGAAGAAGTGGCTGCAAGGGGATCGTCTCACTTTGCCAGTGGGGTATTGAATCGAGAGCCCCTAGATTCGTCCCTGGATTCTGTGGCTTCTACTCATGGA